TGACTACAAGAAGGTGAGACGATTGCAAAATAAATTAAAAGCACAGGTTGTTGAATCGTTAACCGTTAACCAACGTATTCGGAAAAAAAAATAAACAAAAACATTATCATTGCAGTTTAAAATTAACAGTTGTTTTTTTTTCTTCATAAAAGCTAATAATGGGCAGCCATTCAGCTAGTTATTATACAATATAAAATAAATACATATTTTAGAAGATTTTTTTCTAATTACTAAAAAAGAAAAATGCTTACTTTTTAAAAATTAATTCAACTTTTTCCTGGCCTTGAGGTGTTACAAAGAGTTACGGGTGTAAAAATAAAATATGTAATCTCATTAGTAGCTTCAAGTGAAAACTTAAGATTAAAAAATTGCAATGCAGAAACGGCAATTTAATTCTGATGCCATGGAAAATTGAAGATGAAGGGTTTAATATTTTTTTTTATTTTACTTACACGATTCTTGACAACAAACAAACGGCCATCATGACACCAACCTGTGCTTATTATCTCCCTTTGACTACCTTCCGTCTCATGTGTGTGGCTCAGTGGTTAAGCAAACGGATTAGAACGTTTGATTAAAAAAAACTTTTATCAAAAGGAAAAGATGGCGATTTTGTAATAAACTCACTTATGAGCTGAAAAGTACTAATTATTTTTAAAGCCAAAAGAAGGGTTATTTCTTTTCAGAGAGCAATTGTCTAATACTTTGCAATTAATATTTGTTTCAATTATTGTTTGCATACTTCGGACAATTGAAGGTATTAATTAATAATACCTTCAGTATTGAGACAAATTAATAATTAATTTGTCTCAATATTAAGAAACGTTTTATTTTTATTTTTTTTATTTTACCGTGATTAATTCTGGTTATTTTGTCTGATTACTGTTCCGTTACTATTTGCAAGTGCTTTATTTTTCTTTAATAGGGTTTGGAGTAAAAATAGTTACATCACTAGTTTTCATTTATTTAATATGATAACTTATTTTCAATTTTAATGTCTCTATTTGTTTAATTTTACTTTGATTATTTCATTAAAATGAAGAGTTTGTGATAAATTTTAACTGAATGGAAATATTATAAAAGTATAAAAATAAATTTTTACTTGTATATAATAAAAACCAGGTTCTTTAAGGCTAATATTTGATAAATGTGAATATAGAAAAAACTTCCTTGAAAATTTATATTCCACATTAAATGACAAGAGCCATCTTGTATATTACTTCTTCTATCTCATGGAGAATATGCTTTGTTATATCTCTATCATGGCATGGAAAGTTTCCAGACTCATCACAAATCTTTACTCTCCAAATGCTACTGGTCAAGATAAAATATCTGTGGTTGCTAGAGATTGAAGATAACTCTGGGCTTAAAGTTCTAAGTTCAGGGGTTATCTTCAATCGTGGCAAAGTTGTTTGGCTACTGTCTGAAGGAAAATGTTTCCAAAGTCTATGGAAAATGTCAGCTGTCTGCCCTGTCTTCAAGAATGCTCAACCCTATCTCAATATCAACCCATCAGCCCCTTTAGTATCATCAACAAACACTTTGATCATAATCAACAAGAAGATTGTTGATCACCTCAACAGAAGCAATCTCCTGAGTGACAAGCTGTATTGATTTTTCTCTTCTAGGTCCCCATCCTGGGTAAGATGATAAACTACATCCAACAGAAAGGCCTCTCATCAGGAGGTTTTGAGGAGCATGGAACCACCTTTTAATTGCTGGTGTCTTCAGGTCCACCCTGACCCGAGGTGGTAGCACCTGTTAGGGTCCTAGCTATGGGCAAATTGTTAACACCTAAACTAGCGTTAAAACACTATGAAAGTGTAAAAATAGGTTTTAATACCAGAAGTACTTTGTAAAAAAAATGTTTACCAGCTATACATTTTTGAAAAACAAATATTACCAGAAATACATTTTTGGAAAAAATATTACCAGCAAAGGAAAATTATTACTAGAAATAGATTTTTTTGAAGGAAAAAATATTACCAGAAATAGATTTTTGGAAAAAAAATATTACCAACAATGAAAATTTTGTTGACATTAAATAACCCATTGAGGTTGATATGCTGTGAAACAAAACAAACGAAACCAAACTCTTCTAGGTCCACTACTAATGTCCTAACTGTCATGACACACAGAATCAGTGACGTACTTGATAATAAATTCATCATGAAAGGGATTGCTTTGACAAGGAATGGCATAGAGGGTTGTTACACAAACTCTCCAGCTATGGAATCTCTAGAACAGTGCTTACAACTATCAAGTCAGGTAGGTCTTTGAAGGTCATTGTCAGCAGTCAGGCTTCTGAAGCCTGTGAGATTAATGCAGGTGTTCCACAAGGCTCACTATTTGGCCCTACCCTCTTTCTGCTTCATATTAATGATGTGTCTAAGAACATTTTCAGATTGTTGGTAAATATCTATGATGCAGATGATACTGTAGAGTTTACATAGGTTTATGTGGGGGTGTTTACAAGTGGTTATTTTTGGCCTTTTAAAAATGCATGCAAAGATAATTAGTACAAAGATATATTTTGCATGTACTGATATACTTTTATAGCTCTTAAAATAAAATATACAATATGCAAAGAGTTCATAATTTTATATCAGAAAATTCTTTTGTAGAATGTTAAAGTCCTTTAGTATATACTAGAGAGAGAGAAGAGAGTCATTGCAAATGTGTATGTATGTAAGTATCTCATTGATAGCAGTAATCCTTTAGAATCTCTGCAGGATTTTAGGTGTCTGATAATGTAGATAAAAGATACTGCCATATCTGGACTGAAGCTACCCACTCCTCTCTTTTCAGCTTTGTCAGAGTCCAAAAGTGTTTATACAGCCTTGTAAGTGATGAAATATTTTCCATCCTCCAATCCCTTTCCCACAGATGCAATATTGCAACTCTGTTGCTATTTCCATGGAAAATGTTCTGACAAGCTACATTCCTTAGTTCCACTAGATCAGACCTTCACAGTTAGGGCCCACTGTGCCATTTATGCAGAAGTGAACCATCCTCATTCTCTTTGTTTTCCATTGTTAAGAATGAAGCTTCTTCCCAAGAGCTGCAGCTTGTTGCGGGATGTACACGGAGTGAAATATATCAGAAGGCAAAATTAAGTCAGATGAAGGTTATGCGTGCTTATAGCATGTGTATCTCACAAAATATTGGTTATACAAACAATTTAAGAACTAATTGCATAGCAAGAAACTACTAAATACTGTTGTTAAAGATTTAACATTAAAGAAATTTTTATATCAACAATAAAATATACATGTAACAACAATTACAATGTTTGCTGTTGTGATAAGTAAGACAATGTCATAAGGAATGTTTGTGCAGGAATGTTGGTACTTTTTGATTGTTAAGAAATTTAAAATGATTAGGTTTCTGCAAGGAAAAAGAAATTATATGTGTTCGTTCATTTATCAGTGTGTGTACTTGTGTAATTTACTAGTAAGAATAAATGTTATCAAGAGTTGCTTGCCTTTGTCTGTGTAGGCTAAGTTGGTGAAATATACAATTACTTTTTAGTAGTGAAATTGTTTCACTTTTCAAGTCAACTGTAGATGTTGGTTAACACACGAACAATGGTTGATGAATGTTTGTTGAGTTTGTTGAGATTTCAATGTGGTGTGTGAGTCAGTGAATTGTCACACGTGGAGTTTGGTAGCATCTTGTTGAACTCTGGTGACTGACTTTTCTAAATTGAGTCAGCTGTGGTTAATTTATAGATTTTTTGTGTAGCGAAATTGGCTCAAAAAAGCTTGGCAGGAAATAGGATTCATTTGGAATTTTGCTACACTTTGGTGTTTATTAACCAATAAAAAGATTGGATTTGCAAAAACGAGATGATGATTGTTTAAAGGCTTTTTAAAGAAGAATACATTTTTCTGAAGGGGGTTAAAGGCTAATGTGGATGATTCCACAAGCTTTGTGCAATAGAATCTCAAGAGGATGCTTCACCAACCACTACTTTCTTAACTTCTTCAAGTCTAGGGTCAACCATTATCTATTCTACACATCTTCTTCAATTCTCAACTCTATATAATCTACAATTCTCATATCTATAAAACAAACCCATTCAGTAATCCCCTACTTTGAGTGACTCTTGTGTCTTTTATTGGGGGAACAATATCATAAAAGAAATATAAAAATAAAATATGAGACAAAATATCTTTTTTAAACTCTCACAAGGAAATTTTTCATATTGACATTATCTTATATTTTGTGAGTCATTCTCCTCAAAAACAAGTCTGGCTCTGTGGACGAATTGGTAGACCTCTGACTTTAAAGAACCGTTTATTGATTCTTTTTTATTTTGATAATACTATGAAACATAGTATAATGAAACTATAATAATACTATGAAACATTACCTATAGCAACATTTAAATATTTTGTTTTAATTTTTTGTAGAACATATACATTTTTAGAATATAAGATTTATAATTTTAAACTGATATTCATTGATTTTTAAAAAGTTGTAGAATAAACTTTATGAAGCGATAATATGTTAATTAGTGTTTTTTTAAAAAAAACAAATTTAAAATAAAAATAATAATTAATAATATTTAAGTATTATCCTTATTTCAAGTCTTATTAATTCTTAATAAAATAAATTCTTTAATATATCCGTGCCTAGGTGTGAATGATAATAAAATATAGTTAAAATATCTTTTATTATAATTTAGTTATGTTTTTAATGTGTTTTGCATTGTTATTGAATGTTTTTCTTTTTAATGAAAGATACTCCTTAATAATAATTACTAATTATTGAAAAGTGTAATATTGAAAGACTTGAAAATTAATCCCTATAAAAACTATTTAATTGCAATTATTTTCATTTTAAGATTAATATTTTTTTCAGTATTTCTAAAATTAGGCTTTATCTTTTTAGGATAAATAAAAGGAAGTAAAAAAAAATATGAAAAAAAATGCAAACTCTCGTCTTAGCGAGAGTTTGGGCAGATGTTATCAAAGAAAGGAAGTCTCGCTCTAAAAATGGCGGCCTCATCGACGTCAAGTACGGCGCCGCCAACTGCTGACGGTGTAGAAGATGATGATGCATGGCTTTACGGAGGCAAGAATAATTTTGTTACTAATTGTTTTTTCTTAGATTAATTCCCAGTATATTTATTTTTGTTAAAACTTGACTACAATAAGCCAATTTCATAAACGAAAAGATGAACTAAGTCCTTGCCTCTTTTTTAATTTTAAGGAAGCAAACACGTTTTTATTTTACTTTAAAAATAAAACATTTTTTTTTTTTTTTTGTAAGAATAATATACAGTACGATCCAAATAGAGATAGCTTATTCGAAATTTTTTGTCTTCATTACTCTTTGGGTATGCTTTTGAAAGAAAAAAAAACTGATTTTTTTTAGCCTAATTGTTGCCGGGAGATAGCTACGAGAAATATAAATACATAAAGTAGATAGATCGAAAGACAGTTTCATTTTCTCCTGAACCACTTTGAACCATTAAATTACAACTTGCTTAAGAAGCACCTGTATATGGCAAATTAATTATTCTGAATGTTCGTTGTCTGTTATTGTTTTCCCCGATGTATCACCATCGGAAAAAAAAGAAAAGCCATGTTTAAAACATCAAGAATATACTTACTTTTACTTTTAAATTTTACTGTATGATGTTTTAATTTTGAAGAAAGTAATAGTAAGTAAATTGGCACTGCGATCATAAATAATCATTTTTTCCCATATAAGCTCTCCTGATCACGAATGTAAAATATATTTTAATTAAATTTTATGAAAGTTAATTTAATAACAATGTGTTCTGTTTGCTATGTAAATTCATTGTCCCACCTTCGGAAGCCAAAAAAAGAAAAATGCTCATATAACGTGAATTTTATTTTTTTAAGTAAATCTGGAGTGCTCAATTGATGAATGAACACTTTACAAAATTCAAAATATTTAAAAAAAAAATTATTACTTTTTAATTTACCCTTTCATTTTTAACTGTAAAACACTTTAAATTTTATATTTTAAGTTTCTTTAAAAATTAAATTGATATGAATTTTTAGTTACAGGTTTTAAATCTTGCAAAAGTTCATGAGGCAGTGTTATAGAATTTTTAGAATGCTTTTTTTTCTTTTTGTGTTTGGAAATCTACAAATAGTTTGGTTACTTAAAAATGAAGTTAATACTGCGTTTTTATAATAGATTATTGCTGAAATGATCCTTTAACTGAAGTTCTATATCATATGCTATGTCCCTTCAGGATGTGTCAAAGCTCATGCCTTGGGCTGTCTCTTTTGCATTCTGTCTTTTTAACAGCTAATGACTAAATCCTTTCTTTTTGCTTTCCTTTATTTGAAAGAAATGTGAAAGTTCTTTCAGAGTCTGCCATCAACACAATGTCTGCTGAAAATACTGGTTGGCCTTTTAGTTCTCTTAGGATTGTCTTACTGTACAGGTTAAATACATCCAGGGAGAAACTGCCTTGTTGTCTTGCTCTTTCTTTTTTTTATTTTTGTATAAGCTCAGTTAAAAATGGTTTGGATCTATTTAAATTCTGAATGGATTTAAAAAAAAATTGAAATATATAGGATGATAAAATATTTATTTCTTCAATTGTAAAATTAAAAAGATGTCTTGTAAGTTTAATACTGTGATGTATGCTTTATGAGTGAGTTACTGTCAGTTTTAAGCAGGTAGAACATTTGTGTATCATTGATTGTAGAAACTGATTTCTTATAATTTTGAATAAATTACAGAAAAGGGATATAAATTTCTTATATTGGCATCTATTCCTAATACTAAAATAGGTGAAAGGAATACAGGGTTATACAAAAAATTGACCAAAAATGAGCCTTTGTTTCACAAAATGTCAATCTCCACCCAAAAATGTTGGCATTGTAATTTTGTATGCAACTCAAAAGGGTATTTTTCTATTAGATTGGTTTTCCACTTATTATATAAAATATTGTACAAAAATAGTGTTTGTGATAAATTTTGCATTTAATTGGATTCATTCATGAATATCTTAAAACATACACAAATCTGTTAAGATTGTAACAATTTTCTTGAATGAAAAAAAATATTATTAGAATATTTTGTAATTATGCATGTAAAATAATAAAAAACTTAATCAAAATGAATTTTTGGCTTGTTTTTGACATCTAAATGATTATTTTTATTAGATTTCATGAAATATTTAAGATTTTTGTTATTGGCATCAAAATTATGATTATTTTGACTGATGTTTTTTTTATATTGAAAATCTGAGGATGAATTTTAGAAATAAAATGAACCTTTTATGCAATATCTAATCATGAAAGTAACATAGATGTTTGGATCAAACATCATATTCTGGCTCTTAATACATTTTTTTTTTTTTTTTTTTTTTTCACTTAAGTTTGAGATTTCTAGAAATTTCTTTGTTCAGTTAAATAAATTCATATACTTTATCTCCAGTTCATAATTCAAAATGATTTTTTTTTTTTTTTAAATAGATTCTGAAACCAAAGAGAATAATGAACCCTCTTCTACTACGTAAGTACATGTTTTAAAATAATATAATGCCTATGTTATCAGTAGAAAATAGTCACTTATAATTTTTATCAAATACTGACTGCAAGGTAAGCTTTTATTAAAACTCGTTTGATCTTAGAATCTGATTTATTTATCATAAAGAAAAAAAAAACTTCTTCCCCTCCATCTGTTGTAATACTAAAGTGTTGTCAGAAGACCTTTAAAAGTTTGACTGAAATCCAGAATTTTCTTTAATTAACCACATTTTTATTCTTAAGGTGTTATATAACAAATATAATGTGGAGTTATTGTTTAAAATAAAATAATCCTATTTATGTGTTTCTTAACTGCTAAGCAGTATCTATTCAGCGTTTTTGTTTCTGTTCAAAGGGAAGTTAATGAAGATACACAAACAAGTATCAAGTCTACAGGATCTCCAAAAGAAGAGGAGAAATCATCTGCTCCAAAGGACACAGAGAGTACTCCAGTAAAGAAGGACCCCGATGATAAGGAGGCTGGTGAATTGGTAAGGAAATACTCAAATTTTGTCACCTGTTTTGAACAAGTGCTGAGATTGTAACAGAAAAATCTTATGTTGTTAAAATGACATCTAATAACTGTACTTATTAGAATGGATGTTAATTGCATTTCTCTTCAGTTAGGAATGAAAAAGTAAATGAATGAACAGATGATGTATAGGGAAATATGGCATGCAGATAAAGTGAAATTTTTAGTGTTTATTTTTACTCTATCTAAAGAATTATGATCTTACTATAATTTTTAAACCTTTAAAAGACTGATAGTTTCAGGGGTGTATTTTTCATTGCTAGTTTCTGGAAAAAAAAAACATTACTTCCAAGATGTATTTAACAGTGATAATATATTATGTAATTAATGGAGATGAATGTTAATAATGCAGATCCTATTTATAACCTATTCTCAGACACTACAGCCCCCAAATGTTATGTCAATAAATTTTAATGGTTCTTTGTATAGAAAAAGTATGTGTCAATTTTCAAGAAATTGTTGGATAACTTGTGTACACATCAGTGTAGTAAAATATTTGAGAAATATTTATCATTTTCTATGGCTCTTCTTTATCAAATTTACCAGTTAATACTTTTATTTTTTTTTTTTTATTTCTCAATTGCAGAGTGGAGAAGATGACGGTGGTGACAGAAAAGATGATGATGATTCTGATGATGATGACTTTGTGCAGGTCACTATTGGTGACATCAAGACAGGCCCCTCCGTTTATGAGTAAATTTTAGTTTTCTTGCAATTCTCATTTTTTAACCATTGTTCTGTCTTATTTATTTTATTTTTTATATTTTTTTTTTTTTTTTTTTTTTTTTTTTTTTGGTAATAAGTGTCATTTATTGTATCTCCTAAAGATTTTTTTTTTTTTTTTTTTTTGTCTTTTTATTCTCTCATTTGGTTATTCATATAACAATCTGTATATTACTCTTTGTTCATTTATCTTATGAGAGGAAAGCTACTAATAATATTAGACAGTTATAGAACTCTGCTAAATTTACTATAATAACTTTCATGCAGTTCCCAGTGACAGTTAACTTGTTTTACTCATTTTTCCACTGTAGCAAGAATTTCTTTAGAAACGGTGAATTGTAACTAAAAAAAAACAGTTAATACAATTTCAAATTGTAATTTTTGTTTCATACAATATTCAACTTCTCTTTTTAATTAAAGACTAAATGATGGATACTATTTGAACAGTCTTCTGATGTCAGCTTATTAGGTACTGAATTCCAGATATATGTACATTGACCTGCCAAAAGTCTTGGGAAATAAGTAGGTAAAGTTAATGTTAGGTGGCACCATCATATCTTGATGTCATGGAAATGTCCAGACCTGTAACAATTGTGTGTTTTGGCATAGTGTGAATTTTCAGGCTTATGAATTATTGGAGTGCAAACAGAGTATGATAGTGTGTGCCAGTTGGCTGGAGCATCCCTTTCTGAAATTGTGGGGACATTTGACACCCCCGCCCTATTTGCAGTGTCACATGCATACTGGGAATGTCTGATGGAAAATGCTACTGCTTACTGTGGACAGAATAGTGTCCAACCGTGGGTCTTTAATGATCATTACCAGAGAAGTCTGGCTAGAAATATCTGCAGTAACTGACGAGCAACACTGACTCAAATCATATCCACATTCAATACAGAAGATAACTTATATATATATATATATATATATATATATATATATATATCCATCAACTCACTTTAGTGCTCTTTAACTTCAATTGGATACATGAGTAGAAGATTCATGAAAATGCTCCTGTTCATACTCCAACACTGTAATGTTGATAAGTGAACTCTAGAAGACTGACATTATGTAGCATGGTTCCATTTTTTTTTTTTTTTTAGGCTTTTGGTAGGGTTTGAGTGTGTCATAGACTTTATGAGGCCATGGACCCTGGTTGTGAACAAAGCACAGTAGACTGGTTCTGATTCCATGATAGTGTTGGGTGCAGTCATGCAGTATAGGTTGCTTCTACTGGTTCATCTAAATATGTTATTGACTGATGACTACAACATTGCACTATTTCATTACCATTTGCTTCCATTCATGGACCTCAACAATGATGGGTTATTCCAGTGTGATAATGTAACATGTCATCAAGCCTAAGTTGCTCAGCATTGGTTTGAAGAACATTCTGGAAGCTTATGACAAATGGTGTGGCCACCAGATTCAACCAACATGAACTCAGTTTGGTGCTTATCCTGGAGAGTTTTCTACACCTACAAATATCAAGGAGCTTTGGACAGTTATTAAGTCAACATCTTTAAAAGAGGGTCTCCTAACCACTTGTAAAATCAATGTCATATCCAGTTGCTGCACTTAACTGTGCTGGTCTTGCATAATACTAGGCTCTTATTGTGTGATATTTGGCACATCAGTCTACATTATGGAATTAAAGTAATTAAATTCAATAATTATAAGTAAGCAAATTTATAAAAATAAAAAATAAAAGTATTTTGAGTAAAATGTTTTAATATTTTTAATTCATTTAATTCTATTAGACACATAATGAATTATTGTGTGAATGTTTAAATATAATGTTTGAGAAAGGTAAAATGTTCTATTTATAGATTTAAAAAGCTTGTCCAAAATTACTTTTTTTGTTAAGCACTCTTGATTATATATATTCGTTGATTCCCAGTAGTTAGTAAAAGTAAAATCTGGTACTGACTACTTTTTTATGGTAAAGATTTTCAAGTTAAAAATAAAAGAAATAATTTTATATTTTTATTAGGAATAAAAAAATTTTTTTTTTCTTTCACAGAACACCACGAATATTCAAACAAGGTACCGGTTACAATAAATCCTCATCATCGGGTAAGTGACATATTTTTTCTTTAGTTCTCTACTGACTCTCTTTGTGAGGAAAATTTTTGTCAAGCTGCAAATAGTTAAAAGAAACTTTTGACATCTTTACAAAATTAATCTTTGGCTTAGTGGATATATTATCTCAGTAATTCATCAAAAGTGTATATGAAAAAGAATTTGACTCTAACCAAGTCCACATTGAATCAGATGAATCCATATTTGTCTGCAGTCTTCTTAATTTTCACATTGTAAATAATCAACTGGTTTGATAACTTAAAACCAATAATTTTTTTTATAATTTTTTTTTTTTTTTTTTTTTTTTTTTGTGTGGCACTCTGTAGTGACAAATAATTATGGTTACCAGAGTGGTGTCTTTAAAACTTTTGGCCTATATTGATTCAAAAACTATCTGTCCTTCAACAGGCAGTATTGTAAAATTTTATTGTTGATAAAATTGATCAGATTTGATAAAATCTTCTGTGTGTGTGTATATAAATAAATATATAATATATATATATATATATATATATATATATATATATATATATATATATATTACATGCGCAGTACTTATTAGAAAGCGCTCAATATCAGATATATATATATATATATATATATGCACACACACACTCTGTTGCTTCATATTAGCTTTTGTAGTAATATTAATGATCAAAGAAAAATAAAAATTCTATTTCAATAGCTTTCTTAATAACATGTAATATTGTGTCATATTGTATGCTATTAATTTCTCTTAATATATATTTGTACGGTTGCTGTTTTAGGTGGAGCTGGTGGAATGAATAAAACTCAAGGCAAAGGAATTGATCTTGAAGCTGTGGGTACAAACAATGGAATCCCAACATATGATTATGATTTGGATAGTTTACAAGCAGAAGACAAACCATGGAGAAAACCAGGTTAGTAAAGTTCATTTTCTCATTATTTCTGAATTAAAATTCATTTGTTGCAAGATTTAGGCATTGACCATGAAAAAAAAAACAAAACTTAAATCATAATTTTTTTTTATTTTCTTAAGAAAATTAGATTTTATTGTGATTTATTGAAATTGTATAGTAACATTGTCTTAGGATCATCAACATATTGGCTTTAAGCTTAATGTTGTGTTTTTGTTCCTTTAAAAATATTCCATTTTCCTTGTTTTCTTCTCCAGATGATAAATAGAACTACAGCTATATTAGGTACCTCTAAAAATGTAAACAAAGAGCATAGCATGATGAAAAAGACGCCGAACTTGACGAAAACAAAATTTTATCGTCTAATGTTCATATTATTGTTAAAGAGGAAAGATCAAAGTATTTTTGGGGTATTTTTTTACAATTTTTTAATCTTTCCTAGCACGTCTGAAATTTTTGTTAAAAATATTGTTTTTCTTTGTCAAAAAAATGGACAGATAATCCATCATTTTCAATCATTTTTTTCCATTTTATAAAAAAGACGAAAATCTAACTTTAATATTCTTTTAAAAATCAATTATCATTTTTTCAAAACTTATTTTAATAGAATCAGAAATTATAATGTTTATTTAAAATATTTTGAACCAAGCTTAACTTAGCTTCTGCGCCGAAGAAATGTAATTTGAAAATAAAACAAAGTAGGTCATAACCTTTTGCGTCATTTGACAGGTGACAAAAGACAGATTCATGACATTTAGATAACTTACGGGAGGATAATTCTTTCTACAGATGGAAGGAAGTGAAATAATTTAGATTTAAGTGAACAAATTATTTACCTCGTTACTTTTAAGGAAAACTTTCAGCGCTCTAATTTTTTAATTTTTTTTTTTTTTTTTTTTTTTGTACTTAGCTTTCATCTTTACATTTACGATGCTTTATGGAAAATATAAAGAAATTAAAAAATAAGTCTGTTGTTAGTGAGATTAAATTTCATAAGAAAGGTATCTAATTTATAGGTACCTTTCTTATGAAATTTTATCAGAAGTGTACATAAAATACTATAATTTTATGTACATTTATTACATTTTACTGTGTTATTTGTATTTCCATTCATTTTATTATTAATTTTAATATTTCATTTATGGAAAAATGTCATAACTGAGATTAATATAAAAATAAGATCATATAAATTAAAGTTTAGTAGTAGTTAAATTTCATAAGATGATACTGTTACTTGTAGGTACCCTTCTCAGTTGAAATTGAAAAATCAAATTAACTTCTCCATACGTGTTTCGCAAAAGTAAAGGCCTTAACAGCGGAGAACAAGGCTGAATTCAAATAATGCAACTAAATTGTATTCTGGTTGGTCTTCCGTACTTTATAATTACTGCCCAATTATAAACACAAAAATTACATTTCTTAATTACTTCGGATCTTCTGATTGGTCCAAATGATACAATTTTCAAAGCGCTAGACAATCTCATAAGGACACTTTGAAAGGTTGACGTTGCTTTTAACTAATGTTATAATATTTTAAAAAACTTAATGTAAAAATCTATTATAATTAAAGAAATAACAAATAATTGTATTAAAAATTCAATTTTCATTGAAAAAATTTTTTGCTTTCAGAAAATATTGTCCATATTCATATAAACAACTAGAACAAATAAAAGCATTTGAAATTAAATAATATCTTTGTTTTATTGAGTTTTGTATGTTACAATTCAGAGCTGATTTTCAGGTACGTGGGATCCAATTAAAAAAAAAACATGATTTGCATTCTTCAAAGCCTTGTGCTTTTAACTATTGTAATCACTAAGGTTGATGCACTCGAATTTCTAGAGTTTTTCATAAAATTAGTTATGGGAGTGTTAATAAATATAAAAAAAATATTTCTGCCATGACTTTGATAAAAAAAAACATATAATAATTTCGATCATCTGTGAATAGTTTCTGAAAGTTTCATTAACATCTGACAATTATTTTGATTTTTGCAATATTTTCCAAAATAATGTGCGTAATACAAAAAAAACGTGCTAAAAATTATCTATGTTATTTACTAGCCCCTGTTGGTACAAAGAGAAACAATTTTTTTTTTAATCAAAATTTAGAATGTTCTAAAAAGAAGGAAAAAATTTTTTAAATAATTAAAAAAAAACAAAAAAACTTTGGTTTTTCCTCTTCATAAAAACATAAGCATTTAGACGATAAAATTTTGTTTTCATAAAGTTTGGCGTCTTTTTCATCAGACTATGCTCTATTTTTTTAGCTAAGCTATATGTATAACAAGAAAATGACATCAAATATAACTTTGTTGAATGATGATATTTAATGCAGTATGATAGTGCATGTGTACTCTGCTTGATGTGTTGAGTTGCAAATTCATGTAAATGATAGGATTAATTCAAGTTTTAACAAGAACGGTCATTTCCAGCATGCATATTTTCACAAAATTTCTGTGACTTGTGTGCAGAAAATAACTAAATTATACATACAATTTTTTTTTTTTATATGTAGAAATCATATCAAATAGTGATTGGAGTTGTTTCAACTTTTTTTTTTTTATATATATCTGTATGTGTTCAGACAACACAGGTAGATCTATCTACTGAAATCTGTGAAAGACTCTTTTTCAAAGTCTTCATGGTGAGTAGGTAAAGACATCTAGCTCATTAAAAACGTATTCATTTTACTGGCTTTGTCAGTGACCATCACACTTAACTTTGTTTCCTTTAAATTGTTTACTCCATACTCTTAAAAGGTTCAATATTATATGTATATATTTGTCCAACAAGTGGAACAGTAGTAGTTATTAAGATTTGAGAAGTTATTGAAATATATTAAAATTTCCTGAAAGACTCTAAAAATGCATTTATTCATATAACTACTGCAATACTTGAAAGAAGTGTCAAATGACTTTTAAATGCTTGTGGAATTTTTATTGTTTGAATAAATTAAATATTTAAAAAATATTGGTAAAATGAAATTTGTGTGTGTGTATGAGATGTACTTGCATGCATAGAGAGACCTATAAGAAAGAATTATTTTGCTTTTGCAGCATCTGCAAACTGATAATTATTTCTGATTTTGAACTATGAATTTGCTAGAACAATTGCAACTTTATTCTAAAATATGGAAAGAAAGATTTTATACAATTTTTTTTTTTTTATATATATGTGTTCGACTTGATGATTGGTGCTGCTTTTTTATTTTTATTTATTTTTTTTTTTTTATAGAGTAGTTATCTTAATACAAGTGAAAAACTGAATTTTTCTCTACAGGTGCTGACATTACAGATTATTTCAACTACGGATTTAATGAAGACACATGGCAACAATATTGCGAAAAGCAAAGACGTCTTCGGATGGAGAATCAGACCAATAAAATCATGGTGAGTTATTTTTATTTGAATTGGTTTTTAGCAAGAGATTTTTTTTTATAAGCATAATTAACTTCTTGACTCTATTATTGACTGTTTAATTCTTATACTAAAATATGCATGTGTGTGTGTATATATATATATATATATATATATATATATATATATATATATATATATATATATATATATATATATATATAGGCGCAATGTTAATATTGATTGAGGTAAATATAACTTGTATAATAATAGTTCTTGTATGTTTGTTATATAAATGTTTGTTTTTAGCTGAAGAGTAAAGATGTTTGATACTATTGTACAGCATATAAGTGCAGAAGGATTAGATAAAGTGAATTTTAATTTATAGTCTTTTATCTTTTTTTTTTTTTGTCTCCAGGTACATCATGCTGGCGCACCAACTCCAGTTGTGAATTCTCGGAGTACCCCAGAAGAGAAACCTGTGCCATTAAATAGTAAATATATAATGCATGCAGATATTTTTTTTTTTTTTTTTTTCAGTAGAAACCTGTTTTTCTCTTTTCATTAGTTCTAAGAGTAATGGCTTTGTTTTAAAGTAGATTCATTTTATGTGCTTGTTTTCTTTTTGCATTGACTCTCAATTTTAAGTAATGGATTAAATAAATGAAATATTCTCAGTAGATCATCACTTTTTCAATGAAACAAATGACATAATAGGTTACAAAAAAGTCAGTTGATCCTCTCATTAGAACAAACTCTACATGTTCTTAGTTGACCTGGATCTAGAAAGAGGGACTTTATTCTGAATGCATTGTGTCACAAAGCATCGTTCAACCTGAAATGGATGAACAATATGGATCACTTTCTGTAAAGTGTGGGTAGATATTTAGATTTTGAAGATTGATGATATTTCTTATAAATCTTGAGAAAGTATTGTCTAAATTGAATAAGACAAGACTTAAACTGAAAAAGACCAACTGTCAGGTCACTTCTGGAAGAAGGAATAATCTGGGCCTTAGAATCATCAAGGAAAGCATAGCTTCCCTGCTGGGGAAAGATGCTGCACTACAAACGGTTGAGTTGAAAGCTTTCCTTGGGGCGTTGAATTATTACACTCATAATTTGGTCATTTTTCAGCTGTTATTTAGTTACTGCATTGTTTGTTAAAGGAGAAAACTCGAGTGTGGGATGCAGATTGCAAAAGTAGGCTTTCCAATATATCAAGAAAAGTTGTTCTCTTGTTAACACATTTTGATTTTTTTAGATTGATTCTGATTGTATTGTTCACACATTCAAAGAGGCAATGAAAACATGAAAGTAATAAAATAGTTTATTGACAAGAGTCAGTATATGTTACATCCTTTATGCAAATGTAGAGCTTATGATCACCTAAAGATTTTTGGAGCTGTGATGAATGTTGGATAGGTAAAATAACAGAACAGTTACAAGTAACTCTGAAAATGTGAAGCTTTCACCCATGTTAGTTGCAGTATTTGCCCCAGATGTCTTGTAGAGCCTGTAGTTCTGGTTCTTGGAACAGTGAAAGTTCCTAAATTGCCTCAAGTATTGATTCCTTTTAATTCTCTGCTGTGTAATAGTTATAACAAAGTTTAAAAACATTACTGACTTAACCTTCTTTGGGATATCTTTTAAAGTTGGATAAGGATCTTAAGAGGATTAACTGTCTCTTGAATTAAGCATGAGAGATTCTTACTCATTAACTTTTGCCATCATGTTGTGTAAAAATGGCACCACTTATGATGTTTGTTCTATTCTCATTATGTCTTTTGTACTTTTCTAGTGTACTGAAAAGTTTAACAAAAGAATTTCTTAAAATAGTAACATTTAAAGCCAGTATTTGCATTTTGTTTTCTGTTTGTTTAATGTCCAATCCATCTCTATTGGCAATAGTCCTTGATGTGGTGTTTATAATCAACTTTTTCAGCAGATTCAAGTAGCACTCCAGTCGGGCTCCTTGGTAAGAGAGCAGCACCGCCCCCCAACCGCAAGATGTCTGGTACTATTGATGTCATTGGTACAACAGCAAGGGACTCTAGACGTCCAGCACAATCCTCTAATAATAATGAACCAATTCCTACGACAGATTCAAATGATTAGTCAGTACCTTATTTTGATTGTCTTAAAACATTCCGCATGTCTTTGTAATCAAAACATTCTATTTCATTTGAGGTACATAATTATAGTTTCATTTTAATAATGGCACAATTGCTGGTAATTAAAATCACTAACAGTAGCTTGTGAGACTTGCTTGTTAACTCTTATTGTACAGCTAGCACCTGCCTATATTAATTGATGTATATTATTACACAATCATTTTGGTGATGAAAATGCTGGTATTGAAAACTTTTCAGTATATTTCAAAGTAGTTGGTGTAAATAAATAAAATTTCATGCTGGCCATGCTTAATGTTTGAACTATTTGCTGTAGTTGGCATTATATTAGGTCACTTAATGTTTCGTTAGGATATATGAGGAAGGAATATCAAAGAAAAAAATGATTTTTGAGAAAATACATAGAAAAATATAAAATCTTGAGCAGAAAAAATATCTTAATAAAACTACATTTTTTTTTTTTTTTTTTTTTTTTTTTTTTCTCCAGCCGTAAAAATTATTCTGGTGTTCCTCCTCCTGGCATGCCTCCACACCATCCCCATCTAACTCAGATTCCAGAATATGGCATTCCACCTCCTGGTATGCCTCCTCCAGGAATGCCACCACCAGGTATCTATATCTCTTTTTCTCTCTCATATATATATATATATATATATATATATATATATATATTTATATATAAAAACATAAGTCTTTTTTAGTACCCTTCCCAGCATTGTATTAATAAGCAGATTAGACTGAGCTGTCTGTATTTCTTGTATATAAAATACAATTGTGGCACAAGGCCGAAAATGGCGGGGGGGGTGAAGGTTGAGGCTGGTCATCATTATCTTATACCTAGCTAATCAGATTCACAACCCATTCACTCACTACAATTTGCACATCCAACAAAAGAAATTTATCCATCGTCATTCAATCCTCTATATACCACAATACTGTATACTCTTAGGGCACTTACAAAAAGACTCCATGACAAAAATTAACAATTATAAAATTCTATATACAAATTTCTGTGGATGATTCATAATGAGGCAGAGGGAATGAACCCAAAAACAAACCAAAATACACAATAAAAGGATAACTGATGTTAGTTATTCTCTCTCTCTTTCCTATATATATATATATATACACCTCTCTCTCTCTCTCTCTCTATATATATATATATATATATATATATATATATATATATATATATATAGTGGACTCTCCTGTCGTATTCTACGTATGAGGGTCAATCAGTTCAGTTCCTAGGAACTGACTTTGATTATAATGGTGAAGGCTTTGTGCAGAACCAACCACCCTTTGAAGGGCTGAATATAGCGACCTGGTGTACTACGTGCCACAAGGTCCTCAAACGACCCTCTGTAGGTTGTGAATTGAGAGTTGTCCTCCTAGACCAATTGCCATCCAAGGCTATAGAACCCAGTCTGTTCTGCTATTTACCCATAGCTGGAGGGAGAAGAGGATTCATACCTTTCCCAAGGGTATTAGCATGTAAGTGAATGTAATGGATTCGACTGGAATTCAAACTTGGCTCTCCAATTTCTCAATCCACGCTGCTATCCACTACTCTGCCATGCCTCATATTCATATATATATATATATATATAGCAGAAATAATGCTTTTTATTTGTTTTATGCAAAATATATATATATATATATATATATATATATATATATAAAAAAAAAGAAAAATTATATGTTTACCTTACAAGTTGATTATCAATGGAGTGGTTATTATCTGATGATATAAACATATGAATTACTTTGAGAAAATTAATTACTTAGCTTTGTCAACTTGAAAATTGTTTTTAGTATTAAGATTTGCCTTCCAGAAAATTTTGCAGTGTTTATACAAAAGATGTAGTTTATAGCATGAAAAAGTATTATGTTAGAATGCTTTTTGTTTTAAGTATATACCAGTAAAATTTTTCTATAATGACAATTAATTCAATGTGAATCATGGCTATTTATGTCTGACAAAAAAATTTCATACAATTTTTTTTTATATATATATATATATATATATATATATATATATATATATATATATATATATATATATATATATATATATATAAACGTTTTTATTTAAAACTTCTGTAATGTGGTTCATCTTGGGTATGATTCATCCAATGAATGCATCTAATGTTTAATACACATACACAACAAATACTAAAATCATAGTAAGTAAGCAAATGTCAGAATTTTGTTTATTTAACATGTAAATATGAATTTCAAATGTTAATCATTTAATATTTATGCAAGATATTTAGACATGTACCTTTTTATATCATGAAGAATTTGTAATTTTTTACTCTTGGTGAGTGTTGGACTTGGTGCAAGAGAGTGAAGGTCATTCTTAAGACTGAGTAAAGGAAAAATCATAGCAACGTTAGTGCTTAAAAATAAAATTTGATATTTTAACCAATAAAATTGTTTTTGGCACTCATGTTATGTATTGAAAATTAGAAAAAAAGTGACTATCAATGGTCAAGAATAATGCATTGCTAACAAAATAGTTACTATGCATATTTAATTTTTTTTAGGAAGATTAAAGTTAATAGATTTTTAGATTTAAATGAAACTTACTAAAATGATTTTGTGATGCAAATTTATATTCAGAAGGTCTGATTTTTGGATTCTGATAATTTTTTCATTTTCTTTGTAATGTTTAAATTTAAATGCATTTGTCTCTTTAAATGTTTGTAACAGTGTTTGCTATTTGTTGTTAGGTATGCCTCCACCCCCTGGAGTACCTATGATGCCCCCCGGTTTCCCTGTACCTCCACCTCCAGCTGATGGCTATGACTGTGAGTAACTTTTACTCTCTTAATATTCCATTCTTAGAGACATTCAGTTTTTCATACAAACTAATGAGAATTAATTTTTCATATGAAAGAAACGAATTGTTGAAAATATTTGTACAAATTAGATACAAATACTGAATTTGATCAGCTTTGGTGGGGAGACAACTTCAATATTGTACATATGATGGATGGAAGGAGAGCCTGTTAGATTTCCTGCAGGTTATCGCAATTTGTATAATTTTCAGCAATTCAGTTTGTTGCATTTTATTTGGGGAGAAGTTAAAAAAAAATATTGCATACTTCAAATCAACCCTGTCCTTCATTTAACATTAAAGAAATAAGAAAATGACTTGGTGTAGACCAACTAGAAAAGAAAGTATCAAAGGAAAATAATTTAGGGACAGAAGAAAGAACATGGCAGGGAAAAATAGAAAGGCCTTTTATGAAAATTTTCTTTTTGTTGGGCTAATGATGACACTAGCTGAAGAAAAAACTTTAGCCTAGAAAAAATTGAGAAAAGAACATTGAGAAATTTTTCACCTTTTTTTTTATTATCTACTTAATGTTTTGATATTCCCAATTTGATTGGGATATAAACATTTCTCTAACATGGATGAATGGTTATATTTAATGTTCTGTCCTGTTCTCTGAGTTAGATATTTAACCAGTCTGAATGAAAACTGTTTCTATCTGTTGGCTTGTAAAATCCTAGCTAGCCCAAAATTCTATTGTGTCACAGTTTTATCAACCTGATACTTTACATTAGAATATGAACTCTCATTCTCCATTATGGTCAAACACCTCTGCATGAGGTGATGGTTAATGTCCTCACTGGATACCTCATATATCATACATGGAATCCAACTCCTTCAGAAATGTCTTCACTATCATCTCTATACAACTATTTTCTTAGATCAACGATTAAAAATTACTTCAAGCAAATCCTTCCTCAGATCCTATTGATGAGCACTACATAATTGTAAATATAAAGCTTTACCAAATATTAAAAAAACACTTCACTTGAAGATTTCTAACAGCAGCAATAAAAATGGGTAGCCCATATAAGTAGGAGAAAAATGATATAAAGCTTTTGATTTTCCATGTGACCATATAATCAAAAGATTTAGAAAACTCCCATTAGTACTAGAAAGAGAAATAACAGTGGACTTCAGAAGCCTATTTTCCTGAAAACTGGTTTTAAGAAAAATATTTTATAAATTTTAACTGACAGTAATGTTATTCTGTCATCTATGCAGAATGTTTCCTTATATAAGAAAATGGTTAATTTCTCCATTACTGAATTCTCATACCAACCTACTCATCAATATAAATTATTACCTTCATTATTATTGTTGCTGTTTTCATAATGTCTGTATTTGTCTTTCTATGATCATGTAACTTTGCCTTGATGGTCTCTCCTGTCAGGTATAAATTTGTACTAATGTGTTGTCGTGATTTCTTTGGTACAATATCAAGTAAATGCATTAGGCACATTATATTAAGTACATGAAAAAATGATACCTTAAAATTGTGATTCCAGATCTAATCCAAAATTTAAATAGAGGTAAAGGATAAATCAAAGAAGAGAAAAATCTCATTTTGCAACACTGATTTCTTCAAATATATTTTTTTCCTTTATACGTATTATTTTGCATTAAACAAAAATATTTTTGGAACATCAGAACACTAAATCAGTGTGGCCTGTTAGACGATATACAGTAGGAAATAAATAGATTAATATTTTAGGTGCCTGCAAAACTAGGTGGGCAAATAATGAAGATTTTGTCAGTGACAGACACAGTCATATATGCAGGCAGAGAGAAAAATGAGAGTGGAGTAGGACTTATATTAGACCAAGACAGGAAGAAATCTGTTCTGGCATACTATCAACTTGTAGTTAAACCATGGCAATCTTTAAGGCCATGTCATTGCACATATTTCATCTAGAATTGGAGGCCTATCTAAAATATCATTGTCCCACAGGGAGCAAAAAATTTTAGTTTACATTTGCACCAGTTTGTTGCTGTAGGAATTCAAAGAAAGAAAGAAAGAGCATCATTAATTTGGCTTTAAAAGTTAATCCTCTTGGTATATTTTTTTCTTTATTACAAAGAATATATAATTTGGCAGAGATTTGGTTCCATTACTTCCCATCCTGTTAACAAGGGTGTACAAAATGTTATATGCATTTTATTCTTTGAATTAATTATTAATGTTAAAACAGTTTTAATGAAACAAAAACCATATTAGAACTATTTATTTTATTGTTTAAAAACAAAGTAACTATTTTTATCCTGACTTGTTTAGTCATAAATATACTTTCTGTATTCTTATTTTTATAGAAGTAAAAAGGTAGTAGTAAAAAATACTGACTCTTAAAAATGCATTAATGTTCTGTACACCTTGTTTATAATATTTAAAAATATCAGATTAAATTCATTGAATTATGTGTATCATAATTATAGTTTGTCTATGCAGGATTTAAATGATAATGTGTATTCATTTATGTGTGTCTAATAGGCATTTTCATCTATGTTTAGTGTTTGCCTGCATTGGAGATGTTTTGTGTGAAAATGAAAGAATTTAAGTTTCAACAGTTGTGGTTGTAGGTAGAAATATCTTAGATTCTTTAAGTATGGATTTTATAAAAGTTGGTAATATAATAGTGTGTTTATAGATATCAAAATATTTATCAGCACTCACTCTAAGTATTTCCTTTGTAATGAATTATGAGAGTTTAAAGGGTTGGTGCAATGTAGGTCTCTTATGTTAATAGATGCAGGCTTTTATTTATTTCCAATATAATGAACAACCTATGAGTTATGTAATAAAATCTTACACTACCAAATGAAGTATTGTAAATATTTCAAATAAAAACAGATATAAATTCACATGGAATATTTATGTAATGAATGTAAGTATATCTGGAAAATTTTTCATTGGTTGGTTTTTAATAGCAATTTTATTGAGGAAACATTAACTTGCATAATAAATTCTGACATAGTGTACACTTGTTCTTTTCATCAAGTTTCTATGAATTTGACTGATTTTAAAACTGAAACATTTTTCTACATTATTAAAATATAAATTTGCCATGTCTCTAAATTATGGAAGTGCATCAGGATATTTCTACAAATATATTTTTTCTCCTAATTCTTTAACCAAATGAAATATTGATTTATCAAAACATTTGAGCAGATATCTTTTGAACAGAAACTCTTGACCAGCAGCTGCTGCTGCTGTTATTGCTTAATAGTTAATACTTTTTATCTAATCAGTTGAGTTTTAGTTTAATTTTTTGAATTTTTATTGAAACATCTTGTCAGATGTCTGAACAGTTTTCAGAATATTTTGTAGTTAGATTGGTCAAGGCTTTGATATTCATCTTATTTTTCAAGATATTTATTTTGGTGATTTATTGATTAAAAATTCTCACATAGCCCCTTGACATTCAGTACCATTTTTGTCATGTAATTTTAATTTGATTTAATTTAAATATTATCTCTTAGATGAAATAGATTTATAAATGCACATATGATACGTCTTATGTCAGATTTTACAAGGTAGACAGAACTGCTTGTGTTTAGGCTAATCAAATAACTGACCAATAGTTAATGGGTATGGTTGACACTGTACAGCCTACATAATTTTAAGACCATTTGCTAACTAATCTATACTTGTGTATATAAACTTACTACCAACAGATGGCTTAAGTTAGATTTCTTTGAATCAATTACCCTAAAGTGGGAAGTAGTTGGCAAGAAAGGGATAGGTAGTAACCATAAATCAGAAAGTATTAACTTGTGTGACATGGATCATGTTGGCAGTTAGGTTTTACTTTTAACTAATGAAAAATGCATAAGAGGTTTGAGAATATTATGGTTAGGAAGGTAAGGCTTAATTAATGACCTGAAATGACTTCTTTGTTCAAATAAGAACCTAGAGGTCAAATGCCCTGAATTTTGCAAAGCAAGTGAAAATTCTGAGTGTTAGAATTTCTTTGGGAGTTAATGGTACAAAATGGCATATTTTAAGATAGAAAACAAGATGTCATGAAAAGCAAGTAGAGTTGTAAATATTAGAAATTTTTAGATCTTAAATGAACAAAATAAGTGATTTGTCAGAAGCTAATGTTTGGGGGAAGTTCTCTAATTGATTGACAAATTGCTTTTGTTCAGACCTTCTGTATAGACGATGTTTCTCTCTTATCTTTTTATCAGTCACAGAAGCATTTACTGAGGAGGTGACCATTTCTTGAAACTGAATTCCCTTTATATAGAAACCTGGCCAAAATAATTCTTAATGTTTAGTCATGTGACATAGAACCATGCCTCTGTGTCTATCTCTCTAAAATTACTATTGTTTCCTGATAGAAAAGCAGCCACATTCTCCCTTCTTAATTTGTAGTTTTCCTGTGTAACTCAATGGTAAGTTGTATTGTGAACTTGTCCATCAATTACTGCACTTGTGGTCACATCCAATATCAACTGTATCTGCATATATGCCTGGTTTCACTATGCTCACAGATTTGTCCACTTGGCCATGATCATATTCGACAAAAAATAATGACGATTTTCAAAACTCTCTGGTTGGGAATTAACCAGCTATCTTTCCTTTGGCTGAATTGGTAGTGAGAATTTGTATTGTTACTATCTTCTTAACTGCCATTGGTCCCTTCCTATTTGGCTCGCTCACTGGTCACCTACCTACTTCTCTCACTGCTGGACCCTTTTTTTTTTTTTTTTGCCTTGACTTCCTGCCTTTCTCTGCTTATATGGATAATGGCTGGGATCCCACTCCTATCCATCCACTTGTATTCCGGAAGGTTTTGAGACCACCCATTCAGCTTTTTGGGTTGTTAACTTCTTCAAAAGATTCTACTTTGTTAATGACTTTAGATAATTATAAGTGTTTTATGCTTCCCAATTCAAAAGCTGTTATAGACATAAATCCCAAAAACACTGACACTTAAATTTTTTTTAAGTCCACTTATTTATTAAACTTATCTGCTTGTAAAGATGTGTGAGAAATTGTATTGTTACAGTATCACATATCCTGTAGGATTGAAAGACAAGTGATATATCAACCTGAAAATAAATTAGTAGCTTAGAAATGGTAGTAAGTACAGATCAACCCTCCTTCCACTTTCTTTATTTCTGTTTTGTCTATCTCGGTGTTTTCATCAGGTAGAAGTATAAAACCAAAAGAACTTATCCCTCCAATCATGCAATTTGCCTAAACCAAAATTAATTGAGAGATGGGAGCCAACAGTTCAATTTCTTATTAAGCTGTTAATGGCCACATTGCCCTGCTTTGGCTTCTCTTCTAATGTACCGGTGGTTAGCTGCAGGAGTGGAAGATTGATATCCTCAATATAAAATACCAGAAATTAAGACTATTAAGTCCAGAAAAGCTGGTGCCATCATATGTATTATTGCTAATATCTATGAACAGTTCATAAATGTTTTTTTTGACAATCAAAAAAATTTTTTATGTAGAAAAAAAAAAAAAAAAAAAAAAAAATTTCTTTTCTGATTATATTGGCTTTGTTTTTTTTATCCTGTGCATTATATACAATTTATAAAAAAAAATCAAATTTTACTTTCATTTTGTAGCATATTATCCAGCTCAGAACCAAGCAAATGACAGGTATGTATCATTATCCCAGTACACAAATGAAAACTTAGTCTTTACATTGTCATACATTAATATGGCCTTTAAAAACAGACTTTTTTTTTTTTTTAAACTGTAGCAAAATTTTATAACCAGATTGTTAGCTAAAATGTTAAATATTTACCTAGTGACTGGTATTAAATAGTTAAAATCATTTCACAATCCTTGTCCTTGATAATGTGTACAAAATGTTTGTTTGCCATGCAAAAGTAAAGATATTTTATGATTCATTGCCCATTATAGAGTTTTTTTGAGCTACAAAATGAAATTTATATCTTAAAAATTTAAAGCATTTGTTTGAATTATTTTTTTTTTAATCACCTGTAAGTTACAATAAATTATGTTTATTTTGAGGGTGTGAATAGAAATGACATTTTCTTTTTAGAAATTCTGGCTATGAAGAGCGATCAAACTATAATTATGATGGCAACCATCCTTACTCTAACCAATATTCAAATGCACCTTCTCACTGGGAAAACAGGTGAGTCATCTTTCAGAAAATGTTTGTTTGATGAAGCTTAAGTGAATTTTTTGATCTTGTCTGGTATAATGTAGAACTTCAGATTATATCAGATAAGCTTGTATCTAAAGTAGGCTGTGTGATGTATGTAGTTTTCACTTCTCGCATACTGTTTACACCTAAACTAGTGAAATTCTGTAGAACATGTTCAATGAATTTTTAATTTAAGACCTTTTTGAAAGGATGTTCAGTGAATTATTTTGTTATAGAAGCCAATAACTTCATGCATTATCTTGAGGAAATATTGACCATTTGAATTTAGCTTCTCTTCAGTAATCTTTACAGACTGGCATTTACTCAATAAGCCAGTCATGAATCTTGAAACTTTTTGGTATACCAAGTTTAATAACTCAAATGACATTAAGTCTAGTTTCAATTCTCAAGAGAACAGTTTGTCAGTTATAGATACTGTAGGATAAATTCACTTCTGATTTGTGTTGTATCCAAAATCTTTTACTGTTAAGCTATTTTTTTTTTTTTTTAATTGGATAAATCTATTCAGTTGCAGAAAGCTAAATGAACAAGTTGGTCATCTTATACCCAAAAAACTAAACAGTAAATTGATAAATGGTGACAAGTTAGTTCTACATATTATCTGTACACAAGATACCCTAAGAATCTTAACTTTCTTTAGAATCTTTTTCTATTTTTAAGATATACAGATTTAAGTTTATTCAAATATTCCCTTTTGATTTCAGCACTGTTAGCTTTTTAGAAAAGAGACATGTATATATAACAGCCCATATCAAGCTATTGCTCATGCTAAAAATAGAAATATCTGGCAAACTTTATAAATCAAGTTTTTTTTCAGAATACAATTAAAACTTACATCCTGAGGAAAAATCTTGGTAAACCATTTTTAACTTGGTTTCAATGTGTTTGGATTTTGGGAACGATTAGAGTTAATTTTTGTTTTTTTGTTTCAGGAGCAATAACTTTAATGATCGATGGGATTATAGCCATGAACGAAGTCCACCCCGTGATGCAGAATACAACAGGTGAGGCCTTGTATAGCTTGTTAAGTAATGACTAATTTTATTCCCCCAGCTTCTTCTCCCCCCAACTCTTGGATTAGCACATTTTTATAGAAGAAAAAAATAAATTTTTTTCTTATTTTACCAAGGAGTGGGTATCGACGTGAACGAGATCGTGAAAGAGACAGAGATCGTTCCTGGTCAAGGGACCGTGAACATGAAAGAGAACGTACCAGGGAGCACAGACATAGAGAGCGGGAAGATCGTCATCGATCACGCAGGTTTGCCTTTGTTTTTTTTCTCCCCCAAATTAAGTTTCATCAAAATATATTTTCTGACATTTTTTTTTTATCTGGTCTTATTTCATTTAATTATTCAATATTTGCAGGAAACACAGGGATGAAGAAGAACCCAGTGAACATCACCGTTCAAAGCACAAGAAAGCCAAAAAATCCAAACGTGAAAAGGAAGAAGATGGTAATGAAGCATCTGGTGTTAGTGGGAGCACTGTAGCCCCAGAGGAAGCTTCATAGAAGAGGAATTAAAAAAAAAAAAGTTGTCATCTCACACTTTATTCTGATCTTTCATCTAACACTTTATTAAAAATAAAAAAATATAAATTTCAGCTGTTTATGTTGTATTAAACATTTCTTCCTCCGCATCCCCCCCCCCAAAAAAAAACAGCACACATGCACATACTATGTTGTGGGGAGAAAAAGACACCTGTGTGTGTTTTTTTTAGATCCCATTGGTTACAACTCTGAAAAATTTTCTTTGAGCAGGAAATCTTTCAAAGAAAATTTTTAGAGGTTGCAGAAAGTCTTAGAAAGGAAAATTAATCTTCATAAACTGTTCAATAACAATTTTGTTCAACGTTTTATTACAAAATCAAGATTCTTTGGTAACCAAAAATTTGTTGCTTGTCCAACACCGACTTAAATGCATGTATAGACAGTCTTGGTACCATTTCCTCTGGCAAATGGAAGTGCAGACAAGTTAAAGAATAATATCTTGAAATCTTTTAAGTAAGATTAGTTAATATTAAGAAAAGAGAAATTCAACTTTTACTTCTTGTAAAAGTCATTTTCCTGTACTTTCTGGAATGTCAGTCATTAAATGACCAAGGATAATGACAAAAAAAAAAAAAATCAAAAGGATTTTTCTTGTACAGATTTTTTTTTTTTTTCCTTTTTAAGGAAATTAAGGTCTTAACAGAAATCACATTAAATTCTTCCCTTCATATTTAGTTTGCTTAAAGTATTTATGCCCTTCCAACAAATGGTTGAAAAGAATTATATAAAGTGTAATTATGACTCACTATCCCACACCACGTGGTATATAAAGCCATTAAACGGTACAGAATATAGCAAGATAAATTTTTCATTAACTTTTTTTTAAATTTTGTCTGCCTATTGGTATAGGTTTGCCTTAGGATTGAGGTTGACTGGCTCCAAGGTAAAGGCAACAGCCTCTGGAGAGGTTTGCCATCAGCTGATAATATCATCCTCCTCCACAAAACCCTTACAGATCATGTTGACAAGATTTTCCACAATATTCACATCATCAATAGTGCGCCTTCTCCGACATTTTTCTAAAATAAAAAAAATAAAAAAATAAAAAATAAATAAAGTGCTTAAAGTCAAGATTAAAAATAAATATACACAAGACTGCAGTATTTATTCATAAGTATTGTTTTGAGAAAAAGCACACTCAACAGAAGTTCTCTTATGTAATAAAATTATTCAGCAAGTGGTTAGCTTTCAAAGAGTAATTTCAAACTAATTTTCACAATTTATTGAATTTGATTAAGCATTTTACTAACTTTCATGTGCTTGTTTTGCTTTTAGTGAAAAACTAAACTAAAAAAAAAAAAAAAATGAATTGGTTGTAGCCATTTACAAAACTTGTTTTCTATCTTTTATTGTATTTACTTTTCTAAGGGAAACAACTACAAATATTAAAAACTCCAATAACTATCCAAATGGTCAGCCAGTAATGTAATATAAAAGACTGAAGAAAATGAATCTTAACATGTAAACTGTCTTTCAAAAAGAAAGACTTATCAGAGCCTTTGGAATATATAAATTTATATAATTAAGCAGATCATCTTCACTTTATAATTACATCAGTATTAGAATTATACTAGGAGAATTTCTTCCGAAATAACAAAATACCAAACGTTAATGTTTGGAATTATATTAAAGAATTTTCTTGTAGGTCCCAAATAAAACTATAGAGCCTACAAGACAACGAAAAGATGAAAACAACGAAAACTTCTAAACGAAATATTTTACTTCTTTTGGGTTGATCTCTTTATTAGTATAGAAATATTTAAAAAAAAAAAAAAAAAAAAAAAAATCTATAAATTCACAATTGCTTCTTGTACAAGTAAAAACCTACTGCCAATAAATAAATAAATAACATTCAATTTTTTTTTTTTTTTTTTTTTAATACTGTCAGAGTTGTTGAAAAGGTAACGTGCACAATTTACAAGGACTTGATTATATTGTAGGTGTTTTAAAGAATATGTGGGCAATAAAGTTTTAATGTCATACAGCAGACAAGTCTATAAAAAAAAAAATTAAAAAATATCCATTAAAACAAAATGTTAAAAGTTTGTTCTTGCATAAATTAAAAAAAAAAAAATTAAACTGATGTCAACTTTAGATTTATCATTACTTTAGGCAATTTTCCATCTTCACTATCAGGAAGATGGTCTTTTCATGTCTTCAAACAATTCTAATATAGTTAAAAGAATTATCTGAAATATGTTAAATAACTGATGACATTTTCATTTAAAAAATATAAAACAATAGTAACATTGAACTAGAAGTTCTTTTACCTCTTCTCAAATGCATGCAAATACCAGCAATGTTAACCCAATGTTAAGGCAGTTGATAATTTGTAATACTTTCCATCAGTTATTTAATGGAACCCATCCTTTTTCTAATCATGAGAGAAATAAAACTTTACAAGGTAGAACAGTAATGTTTGTAGCAAACTGAGTTTTAATATTAAAAATTGATTTTAGATCTTGGCAGGTAAATAGAATCTGATAAAATGGTACAACTGCAGAAATTGTTCAACTCAATGTGATGAACCTATTGAAGTTTTTACTCTAAAATTATAGAATTGACATTTTTCTGCTACAGTATATTTTTTTTATCAGCTCCTTTGCTCTATTATTTCAGTAAAGTGTCTAGCAATACTTAGTTTTATAAACTGAATCTAATGATATAAAATATTAGTGATTGAAAATGCTGAGAGATGGGGGGGGGGATACAATGGACCCTCCATACAACGGTTGAGGCTTATCTGTTCACTCCAGCCATGATTGGTCTTCATTGTACATTTGAGAGATGATTGTCTAGTGCTGCAATGTAAATAATGGATGGAGAAAAAAAAAAAAAAAAAAAAAAAAATTAAAAATTTGGAGAAAATGCAATGATTATAGTTTTAGAGAATTAAGATTCTGATACTAATAACAGAATTTTTAGAATTAGTGCAGAAAGAATTTTGTACAAAACCTCAAAAGTTAATTTCAATTCTTGGCTGACATTTAACAATGTTTTGTAGTGTAGGATTTGAACAAATTTTTTTTTTTAAAGAAATAAGATCTTAATTTTACACTATCAAATTATGCCATTTCACAAAAATATAATTTTACCTTATAATCAGTAAGAGTAGGCTGGTTTGTAAATAGTGCTGATGGTAGGTAGTGACTACTAGTTGCTAATGATGATGAAACTGAAAGACTGGCTCAACATTTTACAAGTCAGGCTTTGATTCTTTGATATTTTTCCATAGAAATGAAAAAGAGGAGTGGGCTACTTACTGCCATCTTTTGTTATTGTGAATTTTTGTTGCTGTTGTTCCTTCTTTTTTGCCATTAATATTTTCTGATCCTTTTTCTTTTGACTTCGCATTGATATTTCTTGCTTTATGCGTCGTTGTTTATTGTCCTGAAAAAGAGAATAATTAAATCAGTATCACTTGACTGCACAAAACTCACAAAATGAATTCTTGATGCCTAAATATAATTAATTTCAGATATGCTTTACTTTCCCCACATTTAAACAGTTTAATCAAGTGCAAAAAAAAAAAAACAAAAAAAACCCCACAAACACAAGAACATTGACTTTGTACAGATGTAATTTTGATTTGGATGTACATCTATAGAAATTAAAAATTCAAACAAGGTCTGCCTGTTTAACAAACTTTGTTAAAAATGTTACTTTTGCGAGTAAAGAAAGCTTTCATTTATTTAGACTACATACGTATAGTATATTTTAGAATCCACTTGCTATTGCGACAATAGACATGGCACTTTCTTCTAGTCATGGAGAAGAAGCCAAAAATGAGAAAGAATGAGAAAAAAATGAGAATGAAAAAAAAAAAAAAAAAAAGGAGTTCCTTTAATACAGATTAGCTTTAGTATTATTTTTCAAATAAACTCAAAAGTTCAAAGAAAGCATGAAACAACAAAAAACAAATAAATTTCAAAGTCTGTGGCAGAACCTAATTGTAAGGGAATTGGAGTAAATATGTAAATGGTGCAGCCACTGAAATCTGAGGATACCAGTCTGCTAGCTAATCCCCATTGCAGACGCCTGCTCAAGCACATTAGCGTTTGTTCAATACCCACAAAGTCCACCTGTGGTTTATACTGCAACTATATCGAGCAGACCTTAGTTAACAGTTTCTGGGAAAGCTTGTGATAAACAGTCTTAACAATGCTAGCATGCTCAAACCCTCAGTCATGATGACTTATGACTTCATGCTAGCACAACCACTGATGAGTCAATTTCACTGAAGGCTTGGGTCAACCTGTAGTAGGGTTTTCAGGAACTTTCCAATGGTTTTGCAGTAAATTATTAATATTAAATGTAAATAATAAATAGCATATAAAACAGTTTTAACAGTATTTCCCTGACTGTCGCCTATTGGGGGGGGACCAGATAATCAGTTCAAGCAATAGTTTGTCACAGTTATTGGGGAGTAGATTTTACCTTCAAAAAAAAAAAAAAAAAAAAAATCTGATTTATAATCTTCACAACTACTGTTGCATTTAAATTTTCACTTTTATCAGAATTAAGCTGAAAAGTGAATACATGAATTTGGTTTCATCACCTAAGAAGCAAACTAACTAAATTTTTTTTTTTTTTTTAATCTATTAAAAAGCTGAAAAGTCTTACTCTCTGAATCAGATTCCAGAACAAAGACATGAATGGAAAAAAACATTACCTTTTGGCATTGTTTAGTGTTCAGCAGGAAATTATTAAAGTCATTGAGGAAGACATCCAGCTGGAAATCCTTTTCTTTTTCACAGAAATAAGCTTGCAGTTTCTGGGTCATGGTCTCGATTTCTTGCAATTGCTTATTCAATTCAACAATTTCGTCTTTTGTCTCCTACAGAAATGAAAGCATTACAAATAATGAAGTTGTCTATAAAAATGACATTGCTAGCAAGATAGAAAGCTATCCTAATTTCAAGTATGGGAACATCTTTATAATGTCAATATTCATTTCTTCTTGTACTGATAAAAAGGAAAACTTGCAAATCCACAAATTAGTTTTCTTCAGTGAATAGTCCTGGAACAGCACTAGAAGAGATTTTTTTTAAATTTTTTTTTTATTATTGAGTAACAATTACACTACTGTTCCTTTTCAGATAAGGAACAATCGATGGGTGTCTATAGTACAGTGTTAAAAATGTACAAATCAAACATTTCTACTTAAAATAGAGCTAACAAGCTGGTATTGTAGGCTGCAGTTAGGTATTTGTCTTTAGGAGGAAATAGACCATCCATAAACCTGTTGAGTTCCTTTTAAAAATCAGTTCAGGATATGAAATGAGTTAAAATATGTAATTAATAAAATTGATATTAATTTGTATTTGCAAAATGAGTTATTGTAATAATTATTACTAATGTACAATATTACATCAACTGCAATAGGAAGTTAAAAGTTTACTTTTTTTGTTTTTAAAAATGGAATTGCAAACACATCACAGTAAAGGCATTTCTATTCAAGTAATAGTAACCCTGATGTGACAATTTATAGTTTTAGTATTTACCATATAATTTAGTTTCATTAGTAATCTTTTTCAAAAGAATTGCATTTTTATTAGACATTTGTTTTATCCTCACATTTATTTCAAAATATCTAATAAGGACAAACCAGTGTGCATCAAGTAATTTGATAATTTTCTAGCCATACAGATTATATTTTACAATGATCCATCCACATAGCCTCTTCATCTATCAAATAATTGCCAAGCATAAGACAATTCCGTTTATAAAGAAAACAGATATAACACTACTTGGGTTGCTACCAAATAGTAGTAGTAGTAACAACAACTACAATGATGACAATGAATGAAAATGGTTAAGATATCAAGAATAGACTAAGTGGTTCCCAGAGAACCGAGATTTATACAATAGACCAGATGATCGGCTAAAAGCAATGCTCAATTTTTGAGAACAGGTCAAGTGTTGAAAGTCTTCGGCAGACGATGCCTGAATCTGACATGAGAATTGGGTTAAACCCAAATGAATTCATTTTGCCAGATGTCGGAATGGAAAACAACAAATTGAATACCTGCAAAATGCTGACCTTTGGCTGAACAAATTGTCACTATAATTTAAGTTGCAAAAATTTCCCTGGAAAAGCGTTTCTTGGGTCAAAGGCAATAGCCAATTATTGTGTCAATTCACTTATGAGGTAATAGCATTTGGAACCTTAATTTTCTTTTTTTTAATTAATCTTCAACTGAAGGCTGGAGGCACAGAAGAGTCATCAAAGAAGGATGAGGGGCTACCTGCACCCACTGAAGGGTAGCAGGCACAGACAAGACATTAAGAAATATGTGTGAAAGCCATGCAGACAGTTGAGAGCTGAGAAAGGAAGCAGAGGAGGTTACTAAGAGATTCCACAGCTCCTGCCGAACACAAGAACCTCTGACTTCAGGCTGACCACAACGAAAGGTTACACTTGTTGCCATGAACCACGATTGAAGTGTTACACTGTACTAATGTAGTGTAGGGAATTGTATAAGTAGATGTTGCATTGTGTATATTTAAATTTATTTAATGTTATAATATATTATGAATGTTTATTTTTCATATGCATAATAGTTGGAATATAATATACAACTGTTAATTTATGTACATGAATTGATATAAGAATGTGTATTGAAAACAAATACTGAATTTTCTATTAAAATAGAAACAGCCCTAGCTCAAGAACCCTTGTCTAATAAAATTTGGCACTACACTAGGCAGGGGTTCAAGGTACAATATGCTCCTTTATGTGCAGTGTTCCCACAGGATGTAGGTGATCATAGCTCACCACAATTTTCTGTCCTTTGTAGCTCTTAATAAATTTTGTCTGTTATTTCCCCATAACCACGTTCTGCCATCTTTTTACTAAAGCTCACTAAGTATATCATGCATGGTTTTCCTGTCTCTCTTGCCTTCAAATATTTCCTACGAGTATCAAATTTTCCAATCACTCTTTCCTCATGAAATTTCAACTGTCTCTTACTGATGTTAAGTTTCCTTTTTCTTTAAAACTGGTGTTGCACTAGGATATCCTCAGCATCCTTGTGCAGAACCACATTTATGTTGCTTTAATAAGTCACTTCATCTGTGAGGCGATTGTCATATAAGAGAGCAGATATGACGTCAATCTTTTTTTATTTTCTTTCTAATAAAGATTTTGTTTCTTAATACTTAGTTTCTGTAATGCATCTTTGGCTGTCCCAATGTGCCTTTGGATTTCAGTGTCATACTTTTCATCCTCTATTAAAACACTTTCCAGATATTTACATTTTTGTACTCGTTTGATTTTAGTATCTCAGATTTGCAATTTGGGTTCATCCTTTTGCTAACAACCGTACATTCTGTCTTATTGCAGTTTATGTTTAACCCTCTACTTCCTCCACTACTTTCTATAGACGTTCTTGTAGTTTTCATTCTGTCATTTGCATATCTTGTTAAGATTGTGGCTGACAATGAATCCTGATAGAATCACCGAGCTGTATAGGTTGAATAAGTCCAGCAAGAAGACAGTCTTGTCTTACACCCACTTTCTATAGTTTTATATCTGCTGAAGTTATTTTCTATCCATATGCAGGAGGTCTGCTGCCAGTATAGGTTCTTCATTGTTCTAATATATTTCTCAAATATGTTAAGGTTGCTGAGCAGTTCCAACATATCCTTTGTGGCGTACTTTATCGAAGGCCTTTGTGTAATCTATACAACATCGGTACACGTCTTTCTGCTTTTGTATTTTTCTTGTGGAGGACATTCTAAGCATAAATATTGCATTCCTTGTTACAGTGTCTTTGATCAACCCACACTGTTCTTGTCTTAGTTCTGTTCCCATTCTGCAGTGTGCATCGTTTAAAGAGCATCTCGGGGTTAGTATTATATAAATAATCAGTGAATGGTTAAGAGTTCTTTATATCTTCTTATTTTATTAAAATCTTACTACTAAAAGTTTTTAATCTTATTTTGGCAGCTTCTTCCTAGTTATACTGTAGTTTTTAAGATTATAGATAAATGTTAATAATCCTAGATATGCAGCTCGTGTAATGGCTATAGTCTTGGAACAAGAAATCAGCGAGTCGAGTTGAGTTAGAATTCATTTTCGCACAAATACCCCTGAAAAAGGTGTACGCCCATATCCGATCCTTTCTCCAGCCTATGGGTTAAATAGCATGAAAGACCTGGCTCTCTAGGCTGATTTGGTAACCAGTATAACGGAAGGAACATTCTGAATTTAGAACCGTATACGGTCTCTGGCAAGATACATACTTCAGCTAAAGTCTGCTCGGCATAATTGCAATGAAAATCACAGGTCGGCATTGTAGAGATAAATGATGGGCCATGTTTGGAAACGAGCAGCCATGAGAAATCATTGAATTTGTTGCATACTTTCATGCTGACAGCTCTTATTAATCTTCTTGTCATGCTAACGTTATTAGATTTTGATTATTAATACAAATGGTTACAATGTCATGGTACATACTAAAAACAGCAAGGTTTTTCATATCAGCATTTTCTTTCTCCGTTATTTTCATTACTATAATATACTATTTGTACATAGATTCCATTTTGAGATTAATAACATCCTTTCCACGGTGAAAGTATGGTGTTTTGGTGTAGGGAAAAAGAACGAAAGAGAAAACGAATTTTTTCAGTAAAGAAAAAAAAAATACATGAATGGGTCTAAGAGGAGAATAGATTGTAGGAGCAACTGTATCCCCCATTCCAACCGCTTTTGCTATGTTTGCATATAGTATTAATATGCGGCTATAATCTGTTCAGATAAGAGTTGTGAATAGCACCAAAACAATAGCAATTAAAAGAAAAAAAAAAAAAAAAGACATTTAAGATTCCACAGAAAAGACCAGTTTAACTTCGATCATTGACTCACCGAGAGAACATTGGATTCCGTCATATTGTTCCTTTATTGGCTAAATTATGTTTATGTAGCACCCCAGTGGATCCAACTGAAAGAGCGGTGGGAGAAAGGTGCTCTAGGAGCCAGGGACTTGTACATTTTTAATATTTTTGTTACAAGCTTTATTTTAAGTTTAATCAGAGAAGAAATATTCTGAATAGCGATAAATTAAACTTTTTCATAAACAACGTACAAGTTGTGAATGTGGCCATTTTAAAGTGAAAGGACATTAGATTATTTAAAAATAATTTTGAAAAATGTTAGCTATTGTTAGGAGCTGACAATGGTGGAAACATCAAATATTGTTATTGCTGTTAGAGTAGATTGTAATTAGGAGAATGTGTTTTGACTATGTTCGAATTCAGGCACTTTTCTCTGTCAGTCATCATGGTATGATAACTGGTGATAGAAGAGAATGCAAAGATAAATTCGAGTCTTGTATTTCCTCAAAAGGAATGCATGCTAAGTGAACATCAACAGTCTCAGCTGAAATTTGAACCTGCAACCATTAGATTAAAAATTAATGTTAGAATATCTTCTGAAGCAAAGAAGAGGCATTGCAAGTGTTGCATGGACTGTTTTCCAATAGCAAATAGAATTCGCTAATCTTGATTTTTCTGAGACAATTTTGCTTCTAGTTTTCTTAAGCGAATTGAAGAAACTTGAAAGCTTCAATTCCTAAATTTTGAGTTTGAGAAATTGTTTCACTAATACCACAAAGTAAATTTTAGAAGTTGTAAAGTTCACTAGAACATTTGTACATTTGGATATAAATTCCAAGGCAGTTATTTCAAACAAATGTTTAGATTATCTAATATTGACATTGATACCGAAGTCGATCAATTTAGCTTGAGCAGCATCTTTCACTTGTAATAAATACAATATTTCAAGTTGATTCTCTTTAGGAAAAGGAACAAAATAGGCTTTACGTATTTAAGTCGAAGATGGAAAAGTGACAAAAATGATTATCAAACTGATGGCATTTTGAAGACAAATTACCTTAATGAAAACTCCATAACGATTCTTCATTCTTTCATCACAGGTTTTCAGATCCAAGTTCAATTTGTTTACACTATTTGCTAAGTTACTCAGCTCTTCCTTCAGTAATTTAATCGACAACCTATATAAATAAATAAAAAAAAAAAAAAAAAAAAAACAGAAAAACGAAAAATAGATATTTAAATTGATTTGGCAAACTGACAACTGAACATTGCATAACAGAAGCTCAATTTTAGTTGTAGCAGACTAAATTTTAGAAATATTTGCACCCAAAAATCTACAACCATAATGTATTCAATTAGCACTTCTATTAAAAACAATTTAAAAGTTAATAAATTAAACGTCAAAATCTTGAAAAGTACAAAGTCAATGTACATATTGTTCATTTTGAACATTCATGTTCACTTACTATACAAACATCAGAAGATAATTTCATAATTCCTTAGCCAAGTACATAACATACAATTGTTAAGGTTTACCTGCTGGCGCTTTGTACTGTCGGCTGAAGTTGTTCCACGAATCCAAGGCCGTTCGATTCCTCTGCTTGGCTCACCAGAAAATGAAGCAAATTTATTCCAGATTCGTTGCCTTTAGTTTCATTCGCGAGTTTAATGGCTGAACTGATTTCGAAGCCCATGGCATTGCCGGCATGACGGTCCTGGATAATGAGAAAGTCAAGTAAATAAAAATGAAAGATATAGTTTTTATCCGTTTTTAATTTAATTATTAAAAAAATTGCTGTTACATACGATCATATTTCTATTAAGTGACGAATGTCAGTTAAAAATAGTCACAGGTATGATTCATTCGCTTTTTACCAAGTGTAAAGAAGGATTGGTGCGGTGAGATGCTGTGAGGATTAAGTAAACTTAGTTACAGAAAGAATATTATCTAAAGCACCCCAAGTATACATTCTAAGAAAATTTTAATTTACAAACTGTTATAGGAAATTTTATTTTGAGCACAACAACTACAATTAAAGATTAAGTATTTCAAGGAGACAATGAAAACAAAATTCAACTTAATGGACGTGCTCAACTTATGTAGCATTAATCCTCCTATATAGCAGTGAATGATGGAAAATATCTTCAGGAAGTAAGAGGAAACTTGGGACAATAGATGTGGTTCTACAGAAGAATGCAGAAAATATGAACGGAGCATGTGAGTAACGAGGAAGTTTTAGAAGAAACAATGAGAACAAAAAGGACATTTAGCTAAGAAAAAAAAATGTTGACAGGACTTTGAGAATTTGACACTAACGAGACACCCCAAGAAGGTAAAGCGACAAACATTGCTTATAGCTAGAAGCTTTGGAGAACCACGATTGCTCACATCCAGAAGGAACCCGGCAAATAAAATAATACAATCTGAAATTTTTAATGTTGATAAATGTTCCACTTGCAACGAGAAATTTTGCATATGTTCCCGAGCTCACCAAGTTCAGAATCAGTTTTCATTTCTATGAAGTGATAGAGTTCCACCGAATGATGCAATATTTGGCAGGATTGGGTTAGCGCGCTGCAGCTATTTTTTGCTGTTGGGATCGTCATATCTTATTATGCAAGTCAATGTTTTAACAATAACTTAATATTGATTTTATGCGACCCGAAGGTTGTTAATAATATTGTAAATAGATATGGTTGTTGATAAAAATTCCACCACCACCACTATAACATAACCGACGGAGTCGTAGGTCGACCTTAGTCAAGATTGCAGAGTCATTGTGAACGCCATGATCTTGTACTATATATGGTATTGAAGTCAGAGTTATCACTCTTATAAACTGGCTTCCATCTACGTCTGGAGAGCCCAGTCTGCTCTGCTATTTAACATCTGGAGAGAGAGTGAAGACACTTTCACAGGTATTTACGCGAAAGTGAAAGTAACTGACTAGGCTCGTTATCATTACGCCACTTCCACTTAGTGATATTTATTTCGAATTTCAGATATGTAAAAGTCTAGAGAAGGGAAAGTTAAATGGTGGGAACAATGTAAATGCGAGTTAATCACAGAATAATTAAAAAGGCAGTAATATTTAAAAATAATAAAAAAAAGACATTGGATTTAAGCTTAAAAAAAAAAAAAAAAAAAAAAAAAAAAAAATTAAATTAAAAATTAAGAGTAATAATATTTGAGATTGTAAACTAAGCAGCCAGAATGTAAGGTTAATTGCTTTCAAATCTTTAGCAAAGCTACCATCTTCAAAACAAGAGAAACTTAAGTAGATCGCAGTCGTACACGAAAACATTTCTAGACGGTAATTTTTAGTGATAAATGTAGAAGTACATTCTATGATCATGATGACTGGGCTAGAGTGAGTCAGTGAAATAATCAACCAATACAATTTAGAAGGAGACAGATGTGAAATGTTTTGAGATAATAAAATTATGAGTCCATTTAAAGTTTGTGTTATTATAAATGCAGACAATTATTCTAATTTCTTCGACATTGAATTTTACATGTCACAACAGAAATGTTTTAAGCTGAGCAGTATATTCATGCAAGATAATTGCTCTCCTTGCCGAGAAAGATTAGTGGTATAAGAATGGGAAACTTCCAAAGATCTTTGGGAATTAGAGTAAAATAATTTATTCAGGTATATACAAGGTACCATTATTGATTAACCGAATTTCTTTGAGAGTTAAGCCCAATATCCAAGTTTGCATGCTTTAATCTAATACTCGACAAGTTTAAAAAAAAATTATATTATATATATATATATATATATATATATAAAATATATATATATATATATATATATACATATACTGAAACTTTACTAATAGCAATTAGATGACAGTTTTATTGTGAAAATATCGACTCGCATAACAAAGTCAGACACTGTATGTGCGACAATTACGTGTACAGTAGGCCTGTACAGATGTAGTTAAAAACATCAATATTGTACAAAGTTTTGTCTGCCTACAATTACAAGTCTGGACACTGCGTCACTTATTTGAACAAATGAATAATTTTACTTTAAGCAATAAACCCTTTTACCGCGAGTTAAAATAACTGACAAAAGTTATCGTCGCTAGATGTGTTGGTATAAAAATAAATAAGGAAACCGCAATTTCACTATCTCTAAAAAAAACCCAAAAAAAACATGTATATTCAGAATCGCTAGGCCACAAAGCCATACGTTGATTAGCAATTATAAAGCTTTCATAACCAGAATATAAGGCTTCGAGCCAACCAGAAACTGAGCGGCAGTTTAGAAGCGGATCTGATTATTTTGTCATTATATACATATCCAATCTAAATTAGAATCGATAAATAAATTTTATCCATTCTCCGATGCTGTAGTCTTCTTAACATAACCAGAGCCGAAATGCAAATTGCACTTGAACTCTTGACATTTCGCCTTATCCTTTTGTATTATTATATCGCGTTACATTTATTTTGTCTTTATGAACACTATGACTTTTCTTTTAATCATTACAGCGACTATAGGGATATATTGTGAGATGGACGTTGTCATGATAACTTCTGCAAATCCCCTCCATTAAATACCCAGTGAAGAGAAGTAATTCTCACGGAATTCATATAATTTCCAACTTGTAATGTCAGTGCCAGAAAGTTCTTCAAGTCTTTATTCGCCATCAAGTCATGGCAGATTTTTTTCAACATTTCGATATTTGGCCTGAGTGTCTGCATCAATGCTGCCTTTTCTTCCATTAAAAGCATGCCGCTTAGCTGCACCTGGTAGGACGGTAATTTTGACAAGAGTAAGCAGAATTTTTCAGGGTCAGCCAAATTTTCCATGTCACCTTGATGAGAATTCAACATGGAAATCTGCAGATAGAAAACAAAATTAAAATAAAATAATGATTTAAAGCCATTCCTATTTAAAAAGAAAATAAATAAAACGAGACGAAGTAACCTTTCAAGAATTTTCTATAACTGTTTCAAATCTCAGACTAGGTTCTGAAAAGAGATCGCGCATTGTTATTTGTTTAGAGTAAAGTTTTATTTTTAGATATGTGTATGGAATTTTGAAAGTTATCAGTAGGTATTTCTTGTGCAAATCTGGCAGCTGGCACGACTGTGGTTTCCTTCGATTCCAATGAGACTGACCCAAGGATCGTATGATCTCCTTGGGATTAGATAGCGATCTCATTCTGCATACTAGTTTAATGATTAAAGAATCAAAATATTCATTGTTAATTGATGTAATCTTTTGTGCACGAAGGTATTCAATGACATTTTTGCTTCATACGCACTTTCATATCACACCATTTTCCCCAAGCTGCTAGTTCTAGACCTTACTGGTAGAAAAATCCGACTTCCACTGGATAACATCAGCATAAAACCACACATATACATACACGCGTGTGTGAAGTGGAGGCGGTGGTACTGAAGAGTTCCATTGATTACAAATTAGCTTTAAGAGTATCAAGTTCGGTTTGGTTTTGGAAAGTCACTTAACTTTTCACTCATGTGCGGATTACACAATACTGGTTCCAGGAACTATTGACTTCCAAATAGTCTATTAGCCTCTGCAATATTTAGATTTAAATCACCATTGAAACATACATACGCTATAAATGACAACAGCAAAGAACTTGCTATAAAAACAGTGCTCAATGTCAAAGAGAATTACTATACTATTTCATTGTTCTTGTTTGGTTTAATTAAATATGAAACAGTATTTTAAAAAAATCAGATTAGTGCAGGAGACGTTTTGGCTTTCACTTTTAGAGATATCTGAGAATAAGTAAAGAGGTAGTGTAGCTGTGGCATTTTAGTTATTAGAGCCACTATGCCACAGCTACACTACCACAGAAATTGGCGTATTATGATATCTGTAGTAAGAGCTGTAAATAAGAATGGGTTATTTTGTTGTAAGGAATATTGTAGTAGGTTTGGGTCCGTGATTGAGTCTAACCAAGTTAAATAGAGGACAGATGAAAACCGCCCTTTTGATCTTGTGCAGTATTTCTTCAAAATAGCGAGAAAAATATTCTACCTCTAGCAGCTATGGAATACTAATAAAATTTGACACAGCTAGAGGGAAAATGATTGAAGGTGGGGGGGTATATAGCATTTATTATGAAAGTGTATCACTATAAAAATGTATTTCTACACTTTCAGTGTTTTGACCAAAGTTTTGAGGTTAACTATTTGCCCATAGCTGTGGCCCGAATAGGTGCTACCACACTGGGTCAAGTTGGACCTTGGAACAAGAGCAATTAAAAAAAAAAAAAAAATAGTTCCACGCTCCTCAAAACCTCCAAATCAGAGCCGTTGCTGCCAGATAATGTTTCATATATATATATATATATATATATATATATATATTATTGAAAAGGTGCTTTTATTTAGTAGTTTTTTTTTTTAACACAATCTCTCATGCGATCTAATTTTTTTTTCCCTTTTAGATGAAAAATTATATAAAAAAAACTGTCTGAATGTTCTTTTTATCTGAGCGCTTTCGGCTATACATTTAGCCATTTTCAAGGATGAAATATTTCAACTGTTAAATAAGAAATAGTTTGTTGCATGTATGTTTTATAAAATGTTTTCATTTTTCAAAACACGGTGAAGTTCATAGTTAATATTATTAAGTGTTGTTTTTATTAATAAGGCTTCCATTATTTTTAGCATATAGATGATGCTATTATATTAGTGTTGTCAACAAGTAGGTTACGAATAGTGTTCGGTAGGTCTCCATGAATATTTAAATGAGATCTGATTGAGCTATGCTCAGAAAGGTGTAGAGTGAGTCTGCGTGTCAAACATGTTGTATATAATTATTTACGAATTTTGATTGATCAGGAATACAATTACTTATGCGTATTTAAATTCGTAAATAATATTTGCCATATTTAATTTTGTTCTAAGAGGTGAATTATTTCTAGATATGAGGTTTTAAATTTTTTAAAAATAATCTAATTTTTTTGCTATTGTCAACTGGTGTTATGCATTTTTTTATAATGTTCTTAAATTCTACTTTCGTCTTGTTTATAATTTTTGCTCATTTGATTTTTATAAAAAAATTGTTTATGTTTCTATTCTCGTCGTTGCTATTAGACACACAGACAGACATTAACTTTTGAGAAAAACACAAAAAACAAAACACAACACAAAAAAAAAAAAAACAAAACAAAAAAAAACACGTTCAATTACGCTGTGTTACCTTCTGTAAACAATCGTTATCAACACCTGCCTATTTTGTTTTATTATGTTAACGTAGTGTATTTGTAATCTTGATGTTTCAAATAAGAGTTTTAAGCTGAGTAAAAAGTCTTAAAAACGTACATAATACTATTTTCATTTAGAAGTTCTCATTATGCGTAAGAAAATACAGTTGTCGGTCAGCCAATGTGCTGTGTAAGAGGTTGGTGGGCCCGTAATTGACTGGTGACAGCCACAGATCTTGTTCCTAGTTATGGTGCGTTCCGTCAAGATAGCAACATTTCTCTTTCCATCACGTGCGGCTTACACAAATCCGATATGGAAACAACGATACTCACTTCCAGGTACTTAGACTCACGCCAGATTTACATACCATTGCAGACCTCACTGAATTCCGTGTGGCCACATCCAATTGACAACTCTTAAGGAGATTTCAGGAGCATATCTGAATAGACATATCCACGCAACGACTCTAGCACCTTGTCGCGTAGCTAACGTTACTCAAGAGAAGGTATTAGACATCTAAAAAGTTTCACAACTTCAGTTATATAAATGACACCGACATAAAAAAAAAAAAAAAAAAAAAGAAGAAAAAAAAAAAGAAGCTTTATAAATAAACATGAAAACAAAAATAAAAAACGAAAACAAAAAGCAATACAAAAAGCCAAAAGATTTTAAGAAAAAGCGTGGTTAACAAAGGAGTGCTTACCTCGTCATCAGTTGGTAAAATCTTTCGCATCTGCCGCAATTTCTCCAAACCAAACTCTTCAATTTTATTATCACGTATTTTGTTAATGATAGTTTCTTGTGAACCTTTGAACTGTCGTAGAAAAATAGCAATATCCAAACTGCGTTGTCGATTCAGAACACTTAACTAGAATGGAAGGAAAATCAATTATATTAATGACTAGTCTTAGTTTATATTATATAATCCTACTTTATCAGTAATGCTTGCTTTGCATTACTCCTAGATTACTAATAATCCCTTACTTTTTTTTTGAATTGATAACAGAGTGATGAAGCCTATTCATTTAAAATATATAAATGAGACTTCAAATTTATTCCTCAGTCGCTAGAAATAATCATAGTAAAGAAAACGGCTAAAGCTAAGTAGAGTATGGAAGTAGCTGTAGTGTAAAGTTAATAGGTATTTATAAGATCGACTAAAATGTTAGTGCTATAAACTAGGTTCAATAGTGTCTGTTAATATATATAGTAATTTACAGCTATCCCCACCCACTTGCAGCCAGGATTTTTAACTCCTGTGTAAAAGCAATGTATTGGTGAGTTTTAAGTCTTATCAGTCATGAGACTGGTTATACGAATTGTTAATAGAAACAATTGTGCCAACAAAGCTACGTAATATTAGAAATCGGTTAATTTATTGTAGAATTTTGGGCAAAGGACTGTTATTGTAAACTTAAGACAATAATCTTAATATTTTTGAAGGCAATTATCATATAGCAACATTTTTAATACATAAGAAAGCGAAGGAAAGAACAAAAATACAGACTTACTTTCTTTTGAGCAACTTCTGTCTTCTTTTGTTGGTGTTCCGTTGTTGTAGTTTTCTGTACATTTTTCAAACTAAACATGTTTTCAAGAAGATCATAATCTACTTTGAGACTCTCCGACTTTATCATTTGAATTTCTTGCCAGACATTTTTGTCTGCAATTAAAAAAAATTAAAAATAAAGAAATTGGTAGATTTATCTAAGGTTAGGCAATGCAACATGCAAAAATTTATTTACATTTTAACAAATTGAAATCAATAACTAGTAAGCGAATTGTTGTAGTTTAATGATTATCAGTTTCGTGCCAAACTTAACGACTAACGAATTCTATCTTCACTGGTGCTCCCCGTGGCCTTATACTGAACTAAGCTTGGTAGATAATGAAATCAATTCTCGGGTCAAAAGTGTAATTTGCTGATGACTATGAGAGAAAATCGAATCAACCCACGTTGGCCGTTTGTAGTTCACGTGAGAGCAGGAGATACTTCTCTAACGTTCAGTTTGAAGATTCTCGCCACCCTTTAGAAGGCTTTTCAAAACTTCCGATCCTCGTGACGTCACATAAGGTATTCTCTCTTCGGCTGTGCGAGTATGAAGTCACTGGGATTCTACAGCTACTGTAACTGCAAGTGACTCCACCTACTGATATGCCAAATTTTGAATAATAACAACATATGCATAAAACAATCATTCCAAAATGTAGGCTTTGTAGTGAAAACTGAGAATGTGATTCAAATGATCAGTGCTAGCTTAAAAAAAAAAAAAAAAAAAAAAAAAAAATATAAGAGGCGGCATAAGGTATGCCTTTATGTACATTAGTTATTGTTTCGAGAGAATGGATAACTAATTGCAGAAGATTGGTATGAGTGTGTACTTTGTAGCACAAAGATGGAAAGCTCACAATATTCTGGGAATATGATTTTCAGACAGAGCATCGCTATCCAGATATTATTGTTAGATAAAGGCATCAAGAATTTCCATACTGAGGTTGCCATACCAAATGACATAAATATAGCAAGTAAGGTGATTGACATTCCCTGAATAATAATTTTCTTAATGTGATTCCAGTGGTGTTGGCGTATTGGGATCAATCCCATTAAAACTATGAGATTTTCTTCAATAGCTGAGGATACCATGCCAAATTGGAGTCAACGAAAAACCCGCATATTTTGAGGAAATTGCTGTATCTGTTGACCTTTTTACTTGACAGGTAACTTACACTGTATGGCGGAACATAATAATCAAGGTATTCAACTATCATAGCGATCACAAAAGCCATGCGACTCAAATATTCATATTGACTTACTCTTAAGGGTCCGTTTCAGTGCCGGAGGATTGAGATTTCGAATTAAATGAATTCGATTTTATGTATGAAGGGATATCATCTTTGATCATTAGTAATCGGAATGTTAGCACATTTCGTTGTTTTAGGAAAATATTTTAGTTAAACAGTCTGTCAACTGCTTCAATTTAGTGTGGAGGAAGGAGTGGCTAAGTGACACGAATGTTCTAATAGCAATCATTTTTAATTAAGTTTTCCGTTATTTTAGGAGGGAAACTCTTTCCTGTCATTTGCATCATTTATTGAACACGCACATACACACAGTATTCCGGGTGTAACAACAGCAAAATTGTCCAATTATTAGATTAAATCTATTTTACTGGAATTCTTCGAGCTTTTTATAACACTATTGGATTCTCCGAACAATAATATTCTCCAAGCGGATTCTCCGAACAATAATACTCTCCAAGCGGATTCTCCGAACAATAATACTCTCCAAGCGGATTCTCCGAACAATAATACTCTCCAAGCGGATTCTCCGAACAATAATACTCTCCAAGCGGATTCTCCGAACAATAATACTCTCCAAGCGGATTCTCCGAACAATAATACTCTCCAAGCGGATTCTCCGAACAATAATACTCTCCAAGCGGATTCTCCGAACAATAATACTCTCCAAGCGGATTCTCCGAACAATAATACTCTCCAAGCTAAACAGAAGAATCGTAATGAAATCGATCATAAGCGAAAATGTTCATTAATTAATCATAGCTAAGGATCGGAAGCTCATGAGGGATTGAAACAAAAGTTCAAATGGAAGCTTCAATACCGATATTTATCGATAAAATTCTGGAACAAGTCCAAACTATTAGGCATCTAGAGTTGGTAATGACATCCTCAACCCTCTTCCTGAACGCACCACAAGCTTTTTTTAATGAATTCAATATTCTTCATCCAGGTTTTATTGATGGATTTTTTGAGGGCTTGCACATTACTGCGGGTCATCAAGCTTTTCTGGCCAGTTCATTTCAGATGAAATCTAAGGGGGTTCAAATCAGGTGATTAAGGAGGTCAGGTTTCCTTATCCCAAGACCTGTTCGTGAACTCATCCCTGAGAAATTTTTGAGTCCCTACTCTCGCGTGACAAGCAGCTACATCCTGTTGGAATGTAAATTTGAAGGTCTTATTGATTTTGTTGAGGGATTCGATTGTCCCTAGCCTCATGATATTCAGAGAGAATCCAGGTCTTTGTTTTTCAAACTTTGATTATAGCAAACTCTTGTCAATCTCATCCTTCTCAAGCATCTTCTTGACATCAGAGGGAACACAGGCAAAAACATTACCTTGGCAGGGTTCTTTTTTTTTTTTTTTTAAGCGAGAATCCCTCTCTCTCTATGAAGCCAGAATACGACCATTGTGTCTGTTTTGTGTACGCATCCCGTGTAGATTATTCCAGAATCATTTTCCAATTTATTAAAGATGATCTTCACCCTCACTAACCTAACTTTCTGTCCTGGAGTAATACGGTGCCTCACGCGTGCGATTTCATTTTCAATTTTTTTCATTGCTGTCATAGCTGGAACTCTTCTCTGACGTGCCAGACATCTTATGAATTGAGTTGGATCTTTAATTGATCTCTTTAGCTCTAAGTTGAAATGATTATCCCCCTTCCAGTTGCTACCTCCTGATCCAGTTTTCCTCACTCCAATTCTCTTTTTTAAACTTATTCACCATTCTCTTGATGGATCTTGAATGGACTTTGAAGATGGAATTCAGAGTATGGATGTTTGTTACCTTTACTGAAAGCCTGAATGATCTTTTCCCTCTCACCTTTGCTCAGTCGGGAAGACCGAGTTGGGCTGACACAAAACTTGTTCTTTTTAGCTGAGACAATTCACAATTTGGACAATTTTGCTGTTATGCTCGGTATATATAGTGGACTCTCCGTCGATTATGAGGATCTGACAACCAATTGATTCAGTTATGAATTTTGTGCGATAATCTTAAGTGGCACTAGTGATTTGCAAAGGAGGCCGCATAGAGAGCAAAAGTGAGGATTGTGGGATAAAGTCACTGTTAGATTGGCTGACCTTTTAGATCTTGCTCGCTCGTGCTTCTTGAAGACGATTCAGACTAGCTGACTGAAAATTGCTGAGTCCACTACAACACGCTGATCGCCACTCTACCCGCTCCAAGGCTAAATGCTCGAGGGTGTTATAAGGTATATTGACAGCTGACAAGTTGCTTGTCTTTGTATCTAAGCCACGGGTGTCCTACATTCCTGTAGCCCTGATCTAACTGGCTGTACATTAGGATCTTGGGTATCCTGTCAGAAATTCATGACATGACCAGTGTACTGTAACCGAGAAAAGTCTCGATTCCTTCAATATTGCACCTGTTAAACAGGTCTACATTGGATGTCCTGTCTTGAAGGACAACGCCACAGATGGCACGCAGACAAATCTTATTATCGTAACTGTATGGAGTCCACGATTAAGGCGCACAAATAAATGGCATGGACAACAGCTCTGTAAACCCGAATTTTTGTAGCCAATATATATTTTCTGTATATTTTGGCAGCATATTTTCATTTAAAACATGTCCGATTAACCAATTTGTGTTTGTTTATTTTCAATAGTATCCTTTCGTAATCACGTATAAGCTTTGTTGTTTCATGATTAAAGAGAAGCAAAGAAGGTACCATAGTTGTATTTATACACCAGGTTACATTTATGCAAACATAAAGACAAACAAACCAAACTTTCCTCCCCGTCCTATAATATCCAAGATTTCCACTCCTGTTTATCATTAACCAAGTTATTACACCATACAACCCCAGTCAATACAACATCAAATCAGTTCCATTTTTCGAGTCAAGAAATGTATGTGTAACGTGATGGTGTTTCTATGGGTTCAGTTCTGTATCCAACTTTTATATGGGTAACACTGAAAATATATTTAGTAATTTTAAAAACCCCTCCATTTACCTAAGATATGTTGACCCGATACTCTTAGTAAAAAAAAAAAAATAAAAAAAAAAATAAATAAAACAAACAAGCAGAGAAAAAAAAATAAAATAAACAAGCAGAGAAAAAAAAAATAAAAGCAAAAAAAAAAAACAAAAAAAAAAAAAAAAAAATTTGTCTTTAAATTCCCATATGAACTAAATAAAATGCCTTTTCTTGTTAGAGACCACTACCTCCTCCAACATAAATAAAAACACCTAGCATAAACTCATGCATTTTTAATTATATGAGTGAAAGTCCTAACTACTACAAAATAGCAGTTATGCAAAATTTATTAAACCGTGGTATAGTTAACTCATCCACAAAAAAAAATTTTCTAAATTGGCCTAAAAAACATTAAACTCTTAATAATGGCTTTCCTAACTACATTGGTGAACAAATATGGCGATCTATTACAAATTTTAATATAAACAGAACATAATACTTCCTCAAATAAATGATCCTTAATAACTAACACATATCAATTTAAATGTCCTTTGGAAGATTGCCTCTCCGAAGAAAAAAAAAAAAAAAAGTTATTCTACAATAACGTTATCAAGACGGCTCACTATACGCATCAAGGATTCCTCGCCATTGCACAACATCTGCAAAGACATTACTGTCCACATTAACAATTTAGAAGAATATTCGTCGACAGTACATGCATACCCCGCCAAGAATGTCATAAGCAGAAATTACAAATTCTGGAAATTAACTTTATAAAAAAAGTAAAACCAACGTTTAACAAAATGTTGTAAAACGTTGGTTATAGTATATAGTACTTTAGAGATATTTTTAAACAGTTTTTTTAAAAACAAGAAAACTATAACCTAAGAATTCTAATATATATATATATATATATATATATATATATATATATATATATATATATATATATATATATATATTATATAAATAACTGAATAGAGAAAAGGTAGGAAAACTTTACCAACGCGTTTCGTCCTCTGATAGAGGCAAATGTAAGGGTTTTAGGCTGCAACATTTTATAAATAGAAGTAAAAAAAAAAAAAAAAAAAAAAAAATGAAAAAAAATGAAAAAAAATAAAAATAAAAACAGTTTTTAAATTTAAGAACGCTGATAAATAATTCAAATCAAAATAAAATAGTAAATGCAATAATAAAAAATTAAATGTATATAAACATAAAAATTCAACAATATCATTCACTCGCTTTTCGATTATTAGGCATTAAATTACACCACTTATTCTCCGTATTTTATCTTGATTTTCAGTAAGCCTGGAAAATATTTATGAGCGTCCTTAAAATTTTGAAACCCTAACGATTTTTTCCTTTTGTTTTGTAAAACCACCACCATGTCTATTACGGTAGTCTAAGGTAGCGTTCAAATCGACAAACCTCTTTAGGCATAAAAATAACAGTGTTAATCATTAATTCTTATATCATTTCATGTTAAGTTTTACTTTGATGAATGGGCAGAGTGAGATTATATTAATGGCTAAGGGAAAACAAAGTCAGTTTATGAGATGTTCTGCGATTACCGAAACTAGATATGGTAAGCTGTTTTTACTAATGTGTAATTTGTACGCTATAATTAATAGATATCACTGTGTGATATACAAGTCATACTTACCTCTTAATTGATTGGAAGGCACTTTAGTCCATAAAAAAGAACGAAGTTTTTGTCTAGGTTTCTTTAGATTTTGTGTGCGTAATAAAGAAACCGTTTGAGGTTTTACATTATTAAGACCAAAGAGTGGAGGTGGAGGAGGGCCTCCTGTGCCAGGAGGAAGCGGTGGAGGCGGGGGTGGTCCTCCCATGCCTGGAGGCAATGGAGGAGGTGGCGGTGGAGGTGGTCCGCCCATTCCAGGCGGAAGGGGCGGTGGTGGTGGCGGCGGAGGTGGTCCGCCCATTCCAGGCGGAAGGGGCGGTGGTGGTGGCGGCGGAGGTGGTCCGCCCATTCCAGGCGGAAGGGGCGGTGGTGGTGGCGGCGGAGGGTGGTCCGCCCATTCCAGGCGGGAAGGGGCGGTGGTGGTGGCGGCGGAGGTGGTCCGCCCATTCCAGGCGGAAGGGGCGGTGGTGGTGGCGGCGGAGGTGGTCCGCCCATTCCAGGCGGAAGGGGCGGTGGCGGAGGTGGTCCACTCATTCCAGGCGGAAGGGGTGGCGGCGGAGGCGGTGGCCCACCCATTCCAGGCGGAAGGGGCGGCGGCTCTCCAAGGATAGAAGGAAGGGGAGGTGGAGACCCACCTATTTTTGACAGAAAAGGTGTTGGAGACTCAACTGTTCCTGGTGGAAGTGGAGAAAGCTCTACTTTGACAGGAGAAAGGAGATGTGGAGACCTATTCGTTGAGGACGGAAGTGGTTGTGGCAGTTGAGGCGTAGGAAAAGACCCACTAGTTCCTGATGGGGGTGGAGGAAACGTAGGATTATTTATGTTGGCCGGAATTGGCTGTGTAGGTGATGGAGGCGGTGGTGATTGTGAAAGTTCACTTTTATCGGATGAGAGAGGTGGAGGAGGAACCGTTTTTTCTTGATCTGTTAGTGGAGGAGACGGTGGCGGGATTGCGTTTGTTTTTTTATTTAACAATGTTTGTGTCTTATCGCTCGTATCGAAATTAGTCTGGTGTGGGGGAGAAGAGGAGTATCGAGAGAAAGAATTATTTTTATGTTCGTCTCTGGCGTAAGACCCTTGATGGTCTTCAGTCGTTAGCGTTTTAACCGGCTGCGAATTCTGCTGTTTTGTCAGAAGACAATGTTCAGTGGATGAGCAAGAATCAGACATTGTTGGATCGTTTTCCGAGTGATCCAAACACTCGGAGCGTTGGGACTGTGGCAGTTTATATTTTGAATCTTTATCCTCGTTGACCCTCGTTCTCTGCATGGGAGGTTTTGGTTTTCTGTTCATCACAGGAAGGCACCCAATTAACGTGGATTGAACGGCCAAGCCTGGAAGCTGAGAATTATCCGGTGTAATCTTCCGCGTTTCTTTACATTTAAGCTTTTGCTGGTGTTCTGCAACGCTTGCTTCACTTCCGGACCCAGCAGTACTATTCAATGTCATGGAATGGTGAAAACGGTCACCAGACTGAAACTGATTGGCTTGCTCGTCATTGTCGTGGTGGGGGCTCGAACTGTCAGCAACTGACGAAGATATAGTTTCGCTTTCAGCTGACGACACCGACGACAGATCCCACTCTTCAGGAGAAAGTTTTAGATCACTAACCTCTTCATTCGTCGGCGTCATAGCCGAAGAGGAAGAGTGCCTTCTTGCTTGCCTTCTGGTATTTTCTATTCGCTTGCGAGACTTTTTCAGCTCATTTGACGACACTTTGGTAAAGTCACGGTGACCAAGTTCTGGAAGAGAGCTGTTTCTGTGTAATTTGCGTTTTGGGTGTTTATTTAAACTGAACCGCTGTAAAGTGTGCCGATGATCGATGGTGTTAGTTTCTTCGGGCTCAGAGCCATAGGTTGAATCAGCAGTCGTGTGGGAAGTGTTCAGAGTGTCCACAGAGCGTGTCTCTGATCGATATTCGTTTTCACTCCGGTAGCGTTGAAGTTCAACTTCCGTTTCGATGTCGACCAACAGTTTTTCCAGAAAAAGTGACTTGTCAAGATATAACAGATTCTGAGCGATTGATTCCATGATTGTCCATTGGTGGTCGCTAAAAATAGAGAGAAAGATATTTAAAATAGGACAAGAGAAAGAAAATGGTTTGAACCTTAAGACTTACAAAGTTATTTTATCTCGAACTAATCAAGTTTTGTTATAGCCATCTGGTGCACTAAGGTGTGAGAGAGATAGACAGAGAGATTCAGCTTCAATTTAATGTTTATTCTAGTCCATTCCTGCCCAGACGTAGCGTCCGAATAGATAGAATGCGCATTTTGAAAATATTTCTAATATCAACGCGATGTCACGGCTAAGATTCATAAAAGTAACAATTACGCCTAAAACTTTCATTCACTAAGTGAAATTATTCATTCAATTTTTTAGTGCAACTTTACACGACTTCGACTTGTCTGATTTTTAACCATCAACTTTACTGCTCCTGATTTAGTTAACTCAGAAACTACATATTTCCGGGCCAGTGAAGGAGATTTAACACTTAGGCGTTAAAATTTGAATAAGTTTCGAAACCTAATCTGTAAGTGGCGTAAACCACACCAATTCGTTCTTCCGATACATTCGGTCACCAGAATCTTTTCCGTTCATAATACAAGAACAGAAATAAACTTATTCTTTAGGTTTCTGAGACTATTTCTTTCGACAGCGCGTTCTATACAACATATGAACGCATCATACCATTGTCATTTAGTGCCTTGACTCATGCTACTTAGGTTATCTTCCTATCACTGTACCTTTGTAAGTGTCAGATTTTTGTGAATCTCAAGTTGGTTTAAAGCTAGTCGTATTCGTGGTTTGGTAGAGCAAGTTTTCACTATTTTTTTTTTTTTATACAGTTGTAGCAATTAGTCACGAAGGAATCAATTTCATGGAATCCAATTTAGTTCTTACTTACCTAACTTCACTCTCTGAATCTATCTGCTTCAAAGATTGTAAAATGCTCAGAAAAGAATCCGCGTGAGGAGTGCCAAGAACCTGAAAGTGGAAAAAATACTGAAATATTGCCAATAGGTACTTTAAGAATCAATAAATTTGGAGAAGTGAAATGAGGACAATATACATTACTTAAATCTGAAATGAAATAGACAAGATAAAACAATTGACTATTTTATAGTTATACTAGATTAAATTTTTATTATAATAAATGCCAAAGTTCATTTTATGTGCTAGATTGCATCTATATTTAAATATTAGCAGGTTTCAAGAGATACTGATTCTTAAGAGATTTATATAGATTATTGAAAATCTTAAATCCTTCGACTTAAGATATTTGATAGTTAATCAAATTATATAAAAATTACTTGATGGAATGTATTTTCGCTTTCATCCAATTGTTGCGTCCTCATGCAAATTCCAGAGTGAAACCGAACCAGCATGCTCACCTTAAATTTTCTAAACTAAAAGGTAAGCACACGCAGAAGTTAGATTTTATTAGCATTCAAACAGAATTATTCAATAAGTTACGGTTTGGAATTACAGCATAATTGTGATGCGAGTTTATTCTTAAAGGGGTTAACATTTCTCTCAAAGGTTTCATGGAGTGATATTTTATACAGTTTCCAGTGACATCATCTACAATCTTAAAGTAATTATGCCAACGACAAATTTACTCAGCGCCTTCTCCGATCAATTTGTTAAAAATGACTTTGAACAAGTGAAGCCAGTGAGGCTTGGAGAAGATCATCCTTCTTCGAATCTTGTGGACTAGTACTATAGAATCAGAAACAATGGACTGTACCAGATAACAGAAACCCCATCACTATAGGACTTTCAACTACTAAAGATGGATATTTCATAGAAATCGAAGATAATGACAAGATGCCGATATTCCGCACTATTTCAAAGAAGAGGAAGGAAACTTCCATCAATACTGGAAAGAGCGATAACAGCTACTGGACTTGAGAAACCTATTTCCCCCTGGATATTCGTTTTTATTTTTATAAATTCCACCCGACAGTAGTACTGGCTGCTCTGTTAATGAATGCCGAATGCTTCCTTATAAAGGAAACGGCTAATATTTTCATTACCATTTATTGTTCAGATAAGTCAATTGCTGTACGTAGTTTAGAAACCTTAGGATAGATTCTCATATACGGCACATCAGTTTCATACACCAAGGAAACTAGTTCGTAAACACGTTTGCATTAGATACACGCATGCTTTTGGACAAGAGTCATTGGAGGTTGTGTTTGTGCGAAAAATAACCATATAATACAAAAACGAATATAAATCATGTCTCTAGATCCAACGATAGACAAGAGAAAAACATTTCTTGACCTTACTAAAATATTTCCAAACAAATAAAATATTGGCATGCAAAAGGCATTAAGACTTGGCGCCCAAACAGGTGTAAAAAGAGGAAGAAAAACTCATTCACCCATAGAACATTAGGTTAGACGGAAATTAAAATATCAAGTTAAATTAAGTCGATCAAGTCTGCTTACACTATTTGGTGGTTTTAAAAGTTAATCGACCGAATTATTTGCAGGTGTCCAATGAATTGTTAGTATTATTATGAATAGAAATGATCAACAGAGAATAGAAACGTTGGAATGGATTGCAGTAAGAAAATGACCTCATACATATTCGAGTTGCCCTATATTGCCTGGCAAATGAAATTTTACGGGAGAGTTGCTTATATAAATATTATAGTAGAAAGCAGACTATTCATAAAAACGGCACTTATCGTTTCTGTTTGTTATTAATTTCTATATATCTGCTTGGATTTCAAAGAAAGTGAATTAAAATTTCACGAGAGACCTGGAAAATAGATAACATCAACACGAAGAAAGTTTAACCAATCAAAAATGTGGACACTTCATAGAATTTAATGAGTCGATATTCAAAATACAGGTCTTAAAAATTCGATATCATCCGTTCATTAATAAAATTCTCATTTTTATCGAGGTCAACTATTTTGAATAAAATTTAATTCTGTTTTCAGTATCAAGAAGGCGCACACAAAGACTTATCAGTAAAAGATAAGTATGATCTTGCCAAATTAGTTAAAGTTGAAGATTTTACTAAAATGTGTAAAACAGTTTGCCATCTTTAAAATTTCCCTTTGAAATCAATTGCAAGAGAAAAAAATTTGCCTGAAATACTTCCAAAATCGAACCAAATATCGGATTTAGTTTGATTGCTTCTTGCTTGGGCCAAGAACTTTTCCGCACATCGTAAAAAAAGTAAATTGTGCAGGCTATTAGTATTGCATTATTATGCTGACTAAAATGAATTGCAAGTGATTGCAGAGTAAAGTAGGAATCATTCGCCAAGTGCACAGCGTGCTAATTTAGTGTCAGATTTGAACGAGATTTTGAACCAACATACCGTTAAGTGCTTTGCAGATAGAAGCTTCAGATTTCGTAAAGTCTGATTTTCAGGCGCGATCATTAGTAAGCTTGTGACATTCGCTAATATAATAATAAAAAATATATAAAAAAAAAAAAAAAAAAAAAAATGGACGCTCCCCTACCATCACTAGGTCATAAACCGAACTTAGTAAGGAACACCTCGTACAATGCGTAACTCTAAACGGGACTAGGTGTTAAAAAAAAATTATGGAGGTGATTTTTAGAGACTGGCAGATCCGTTCATAAATTCAATCTTCTTTGCTGTATTAAGCTAAGCCAAAATTATTTCATATGTCGGCTCATCAGATATACGTTAGACTCACAGGGTTAGAAGCGGTAGAAATAAATACTTTTTTTATCAGATTGTTATTAACTTAATGGAAAAACAATTCGCTCTCATTGTTTGTTCTTGCGAATCTCCAAAAGAAAACGAAATTTTATACCACGATTCTCCAAGTATCCCTTGTAACATCGCACTTACACGTGTCCTCATTCATCTGAGTGTCTGGGTGGGGTTGTGGGCTGCAGCACGAGACTGGACAGAATTAAAAATGTGTGCATGGGTAGGGGAAACATGAAATAATCATCCTTTACAAAAGGAACTTGTAACTGAGTTCACTCTTAATTAAAAACTGTATGAAGCTATTACAATGGAGAGAGAGAATTTAAAAGTACCAACGCCACACTACAAGAGGGAATATTTAGTAGTGGTGTTGGTAATAATAACTTGTTTTTGCTCAATGAAATACAGATTTTGTGAAGTGGGTAGCACCAAAAACTTTTCAACATCTTGTACTAAAAACAGATAAATAAATGCAACAAGAAATACAAAAAGGACATATTTGCTTTCAGAGAAACACTGTTTAACCAGAAACAATAAAAAGGGAGAGAGACTATTAAAAAAATGGTCCACAGAGTTAATAATTGACTGTAAATATTAGGACAGGTTTCTTTTCGAAATGAAAAAAAAAATCGCTACCTACTCCAGGAAAACAGGAATTATCAGATTTGGACGAAATATTCGGTACTTAGTTTTCTAAAGTAACCTATTCAGTATAAAATTCATTCACTTTGTGGAAGTGTTGAGCGGGTTAGTTCGGTCCCGCTTTGTGATGTTCGATTTTCTTTTTATGAAAGAAATATCGCTGAGGATGTTATTTCCGTAAAAGATCATGCAATATCAAGTGTGAACAGTGAAAATTCATCCTGAACTTTACCAAAATAAAAAATAAGAATACAAGTTACGTGTAACCTTTCAGAGTGACCTTGAAATTCATCCCGTTACGATTTGTAATCATTTTCTTTTAAATTAAAGATTTTTTGAAGAAAAATGTAAAAATAAAAAATAAAAAGTTACAAGTTACGTGTAACCTTTCAGAATGACCTTCACCGAAATTCATCTTAAAGTTTTACGATTTGCTTTTATTAAGAATAATCATTTTTTGAATTTTTCAATCCTTTTAAATAAAAAAGTTTTGTTTTTTTGAAGATCGCTAAAAAAAAAATGAAAAAGACGTCAAACTTGACGAAAACAAAATTTTATCGCCAAAATGTCTATGTTACGTAAGTAAGAGTAAAGAACAAAGTAATTTTTTTATTTTTCAAAATTTTCTGTCTTTATTACAACAAAACGATTGAAAAAAAGTTTTGTTGAACCTAGTTTTTTGCACTTTTTGTGCACAAAACATTAATTTTGAAAATCTTGAAAATAGAAATAATTGACAGATTTAATCAGAAACTATTCAGAAATGATGGAAATTATTATAAATATTTTATTTTTTTTCATTATAAAAATATATTTTTTACATATATTACCACCCCATAAATATCTGTAAAAGTTTATGGAAGAGGGGGTTTTTTTTTTAAAATCCGAATGACGCGAAAAATCTGAATTGTAACATACAAAACCCAATAAAACCCCTTTTTCTTTTATTTGTTTTTATCAATATGAAAATATCGATGAAAAATGAAAAAGGCCATAAAAATTATTTTATTCAAAATTTTTGCTTTTACTAAAAGTTACTGAAAAAAGTTGTTAAATATTCTAAAATTAGCGGTTTGACGAATCCTGAATATAATGCTATTTTTAGGTACCTATATCTTTACAGATTATAAATAGTACAATTTTTACAATCAACGAAAATCAATGAGAATAATCTTAAAATGTGTAGAAAAAAAAAATCTTAAATCAAAAACGGACCATGATCCAACTGTTTTTAAAAAAATTTATAATAATTTCCAAAACAATTATTTCTACTTTTTGTTTGAACAAAAAATTTGCCATGTTATTTACTAAAGTTCCGGTATGACGAGAAACGAGATTTTTCAATCAAAAGTTAAAACGTTCTAATAAAGACAGAAAATTAACAAAAATAAACTTTGTTTCTCTCCCTTAATAGTAACATAAACATTTTGGTAATAAAATTCTGGTTCGTCAAGTTTAAGGCCGTTTTTCATGGTAACTACTTAAAAATAACGAGGTAAATAAGTTGTTAACGTAAAGATAAATTGTCACTTACGACCTTCCGTACTATAAATTTCACGTAATATGTCAGTGCGTTTACTTGTCATTTGTCAATCAACACCGCAGTTCAGATCGGCTTTCTCCAAAAAAAACATGTTTTCATCACAGAAAATAAGCAATCTTTGTTTGAAAAATATACTAAATAAACTTGCCGAAAACAGCAAAAACTTTTTTTTATCGATCATCTGTCGATTTTCCGATTCAAAAAAAATTGAAGATTTTTAACGAAAATTTTGGACGTGCTAGAAATTATTAAAAATTTTAAAAATATTCAAAAATAGTTTGATCATTCCTCTTGATAATAACATTAACATTTATACGATAAAAATTATTTTAATCAAATTTAAGGCCTTTTTATTCATGGTATGCTATTTTTAAATTTTTTTTTATCGTCTAAATGCTTATGTTATTAAGAGGAAAGACCAAATTTTTTAATTATTTAAAAAATTTTTATTGTTTTTTATTTTATTTTTTTTTTTTTTTTTTTAGAACATTCTAAGTTAAAATTAACCTTATTTCTCTTTGTATCAGCGGAACTAGTAAAACAATTTTTAGCACGTTTTTTTGATATGACACATTAATTTGGAAAAGCTTGCAAAAATATAAATAAATTGTCGGATGTTAAGGAAACTTTCAGGAACTATTCACGGATGATCGAAATTGTTTTTTTTTTTTTATTAAAGTCATGGTAGAAATATTTTTTTATATTTATTACCAGACCCCCCCCACCCCCAACTAATTTTATGAAAACGCTAGAAATTCGATCGAGTCTAGTTTAATGATTACAATAGTTAAAAGCACAAGGTTTGAGGAATGCAAATCATGTTTTTCTTTTTTTCAATTGGACCCCCTACCTGAAAATTAGCTCTGAATTGTAACATACAAAACTCAATAAAACAAAGATTATTTAATTTCAAATTCTTTCATTTGTTTTAGTTGTTTTTATGAATATGGACAATATTTTCTGAAAGCAAATTTTTTCGAAGAAAAATGAATTTTTAATTATTTGTTATTTCTTAATTATAATAGATTTTTACATTTAATTTTTTTTTTAAGTATTATAAAATTAGTTAAAAGCCGCATCAGGTTTCCTAAGTCTCTTTGAGAGATCTTTTTTTAACGCGTTGTAAATTGTATCATTTTGACTAATCAGAAGATCCGCAGTAATTAAGAAATGTAATTTTGTGTTTATAATCAGGCTGTAATTATAACGTACGGAAGACCAACCAGAATACAATTAAGTTGCGTTATTTCAGTTAAGCATTGTTCTCCGCTGTTAAGGCATTTACTTTTGCGAAACACGTGTAGAGAAGTTAATTTGATTTTTCAATTTCAACTGAGAAGAGTACCTACAAGTATCAGTATCATCTTATGAAATTTATATGATCTTATTTTTATGTTAATCTCAGTTATGACATTTTTCCATAAATGAAAAATCAAAATTAATAAAATGAATGGAAATACGAACAACACAGTAAAATGTAATAAATGTACATAAAATTATAGTATTTTATGTACACTTCTGATAGAATTTCATAAATTAATTAGATACCTTTCTTATGAAATTTAATCTCACTCTTAAGAGACTTATTTTAATTTCTTTAGAATATATTTTCCATAAAGCATCGTAAACGTAAAGGTGAAAGCTAAGTACAAAAAAAAAAAAAAAAAAAAAAAGTTATAGCGCTGAAAGTTTTCCTTAAAAATAACGAGGTTAATAATTTGTTCACTTAAAATGTAAATTATTTCACTTTTCTCCTTCCGTAGAACAAATTAGCCTCACGGAATCCGTCAATATGTCATTCATCCCCTGTCAAGTGACGCGAAAGTTTATGACCTGCATTGTTTTATTTTCAAATTACATCTTTTCGGCGCAAAAGCTAAGTTAAGCTTTGTTCAAAATATTTAAAATAAACATAATTCTGATTTTCTTAAAATAAGTTTTGGAAAAAATGATAATTGATATTTAAAAGAATTTCAAAGTGAGATTTCCAGTTTTTTTTATAAAATGGAAAAAAAAAAAAAATTTAACGAAAATTTCGGACGTGCTAGGAACGATTAAAAAATGTAAAAAAAAAAAAAAATACCCAAAATACTTTGATCTTTCCTTTTAATAATAACAAACATTTAGACGATAAAAATTTTGTTTTCGTCAAGTTTGGCGTCTTTTTCATCTTGTTATGCTTTTTTTTTTTAGCGATCTCGTGGAGGTATCTATACGTGATTGCGGTGGCATAATTTCATTGACATTTTTACTGTTGAAAACACATTGATTTGGAAATTCTTGTAAAAATCAAGTAATTCTCCATTTTTTTTTCTTTTTTTACATGTTACCCCACCCCTTCAATTTCATGAAATTAAGCAAAAACTTCTTGAATTTTTTTTATTCCTTAAAAGTAAGACTCCTTGGAGAATGTAAATCACCTAATTTTTTTTCAAACTTCCACTATTCTAATTGAAAATCTGCTCTGAATTGAAAAGTAATGAATACAATAAAACTATGACATTAGAAAAGCTTTTAATTGCTTTTGTAAATAAGTTATATCAAGAACACATACATATATATATATATATATATATATATATATATATATATATATATATATATATATATATATATATATATATATATATAACACGCCTAACAATCCCTCTACCCCATTTTCATAATGGCGTATTAAAGCCGAAAGTGCTCAGAAGAGATAGGATAATTTATGCTTAAATTCTCACCGGAAGCTATAAAAAAAATGACCCGAATCGTAGTAAAATTAAATCTCAAAAGAACATTCATCGATCTTCAGCACAAACTATATTAAAAATGCTGTCTAAAAAACACACAAGAGAGTAGTTGGGGAGTATTTACTGCTATCTTAAAATCACAGTTTCACTGATGGAAAGAAATATTAAGTTATTTCACTGCATCAACAAAAACCCCCAAAAAGAACAAAAAAAAAAAAAAAAAAAAAAAAAAAAAAAAAAACAAAACGAAAAAACAAAAAAAACAAAAACAAAAACAGCAGTTTATGCTAATTTAGCAAGATTGGGAGTGCCATTAGCAAAGCAGGCAATCGAATCGACATTCAACAGCATGCAGAAAAGTTCACGTTACGGCCATAACTCACACGGGAACCACCTACCCTCAGAGCCTGAGCCGGCATAAGTAGAGAGGATGCATTTGTTATATCTTCGTGATATATTTTAGAAAGATCACCTGACCTCGAGTGTCCTAACCCCGTTGATTCATAGTGTATATTACTTGCTCGACGCCGTGATAGACGTTCTGCCCAATTGGCACACGGCGTGATTCCTTTCTTTTTCATTACAGCATGAAACTGTCAAGACAAAATTTAACATAATTTAAAGTTTCTGACGCATTTGATTTTCAAATATTTTTCGGATAAGTTTTGCTCAGTCTTGTTTGTCGTTCTCGTAAACAGTCAGGATTTGTCGTAGAACTTTTCCGCTGAAGCTTTAATGCAAATATCGATATTGTATCAGATTTTTTTTTTTTTTTTTAGACAGGATTTATAAGCAATGGACACAATAAATATTTAACTGAAGGCAGACTAATGAACCAGCTGAATCACGAACTAAATTAATATCCGACAAAATTTGAGATTCGTTTTAATTAAAAAAAAAAAAAAAAAAAAAAAAAAAAAAAAGTGCTGTGGTCTTCGTTTTCGAAGAATAGTTGTCAGAAGAGAAATGATCACTTAAAACAGAATTTAGAGAATTTCAATCATAATCTCGGAAAAGTTTTATAGTTTACTAGTTCGGTCACGTTGTTTAGTTGGCGGCAAAAATGACCAGATTTAAAATACAGTTGTTTATCCCTAGAAAAATACTATATTATTAGAAAATATGTTAAGCTTAAGACGGAGTCCTACATAGAGGCTTAAAGAGCTGCACATTTCGGCTTATACTTTTTCCTGTTATCCAGAGATTATTACCAGATGAAATTAGCCCTTGCAACAGATTTTATTCAAATAGTATGTGTACACACACATCATTATATATATATATATATATATATATAATGTACTGAAAAGTTCAGTTTAAAAATCAACAGCGTTATACAAGTTCCTAACGCATTCAAGTTGTCAGCTTTCATATTAAACAATTGACTTACGATCCTAATATCCAATCAACTTCCATATTAAACAGTTATAGGTAAAAGTATTAACACCTATTCTTTCGCAAAAGTTTGCTTCGCACATATTGGGACAAGACAATAGATGGGTTAATTCTAATTAAAACGGTTTTGAATAAAGTTAAAATTCCAGACACTATTGAAGGAAGTAATACGCCATAGAAATAAGAGCGAATAAAATTTTGCAAGATTAAGCGTGGATTTGTCAAAAGATCACGTGTGAGGAACTAGAATGGATAAAAAGCAAGGAAAATAAAGCGAAAACATCGTTAAAAATACTGAAAAGAAATCATTAAAACATAAAATAAAAAAATGTGCTTGCACATCACGGTTATCTTATCCTATGTAAAAGGAAAACAAAAACTAAAAAAAATAAAAAGCAAACAAACAAAAAAAACAAACAAACTATAGCAATGTAGAAATAACGGTCATCTAATTCACACTTCCAATTAAACAGGAGATTTATAAGCGACAGCTAATATTAAGTATCGGACATTAAACCGTTTCAAATCCTAGAATTTGCAGAAGTGCCCTGGTTTCCTTTGTTAATACTGATGGTAGTTCAGTCAGACAAACAACTACACACTGAAATAGATTAAGTTGGAGGAAAATAGTGTTGAAAGTTTATTTAAAATGAGAGGACACAGCAACGCTATATATTTTAAATCAGCTTTTTATGTCAAAGTAAAATCTATTTTATCGAACAGTTACTTAAAATTTTTCACTTTAAATCATTATATAGAGCACGATTACTCAGTACATTTTGGTGGTAAGAGAAACTATACAATCGTAATAGTTACATTATAACATCGATTGCATTTGAATCCGCTTCAGATTATTGCTATCCTCCGATTTTCCCCACTGTTTTTTTCCTTGTAGAAATTATTTTTAACTGAGAGAAATTGGTCGTAAAGACTTTTTTAACGCTTTAAATTTGAAGTTTTGGCACTGTAAAAAAAAAAAAAATTAAAAAAGTACACAAGTTCATTATATTAGAACTTCTGCTGTGCCCATTCAGGAAGTGGACAACAATGTCTCTCCACAACTTGCAATGCTTGTCGCATAACTATCCCTTCCTCTCCCTCTTCTGCCATACATTTATACAAGCTCATTAGGCATGTCATTCGATGTTTCACGTCTGCGCTCCTTACCTTCAAGATATCATGCGAGTTAAATTCTCCCAGACTTATTTCCCCTTATTATATGTCCCAGAAAGTTAACTGTTTTTCTGATTCTAAGTACAAGTTTTATTCAAACTTATTTAAGATGCTAAATACTTTAAGAACCACTATAGATGACTTGCTTTAAAAAAAGCTTTGAAAAATACGTGACAGAAAAACTTATTAAACCAAACAACTTGCAAGTATTAAATATTGTGGAGGTTTTATATAAAAAGATAAGTTTCTTAATTTTAGATTGTTGTATTCTCGAGTTATTTGAAAAATACTGTTTGCATGGAAAATGAGAAATTGAACTCCGATTTTTCCATTCAAAAAGGAGTTCAGTTCGTCTGACTACTTCCAACCGAACGGCAGGGTGACAATAATTTAACACCCTCTTCTCTGTTGAACCACTGAATAGATGAACATTTTTTATACTTTTAATGGTAAAACCTATGAAATCATGCATAAATCATGTGACCAGATAACGTGGTGTAAACCACTTTTTCGACCACATTTACAATCATGTCAAAACACATTAAATATTACAGTCAATCGCACGTTTTAACTTTAGCGGAGAAAAGTTATTTATAAAGACCAAAATGTCAATTGTGGAAGCGTTATTTCACTTCCGATATATATATATATATATATATATATATACACACATATACATACATACATACATATATATATATATATAGATAAGTGATTAGAATAAGTTTCTGCAAGAAACAAATGTAGAATATACTTACATTCTGACAAATGGCTAGAAACATATCTTGGTGACGGCTAATGTCTCCTCGGTTAGAGTTATGGGCCAGAGTCAAAATTGCCTCATCGTGTCTCTTGTCCTGCTCAAATGTCTCACACTGGATGGTCAGTTTGTCATCATTCAAGTTGCGTAATTCCTTAAGCACTGCCTCGATGTTCAGGTCTAAAGAAGAAAATTAAAAATCATAAAAGAAAAGTAACTTTCCACAGAGTAAAATCTTCGCTCCCCACCCCAACGAATATTTTAAAACATTTTTGTTATTTTTTATAGATTTAAGAAATCTTGACCGTCTTGCTTCCATATCGTCATTGATTTTCTTTTTCCTATTAACCTGCAAACAGGGACCGACAGACGTTAACTTGGGATTTATAATGTTAATATTAGTTTCCTTATAAGGAAACATTTGGCATGCATTGACTGAGCAGCCAGCGCTACTGTCGGTTGAAATTTATAACATCTTTCTATTAAAAGAATTTTTCAGAAAAGTCCAGTGTGTTATTGCTCTTAACCTTTGAACTAGACTTACAGTGTGCATTCGCTCGAAATAGTTGATCATAGAAAGTTTATATATTTCTGAACGAGTTTGGTGCCATCCATATGAAAATTTGACTAAGTTTAGGAAGAATATCTCACTACAACTCATGAGTATCAGCGAGCTATGCAGCTTCATCATTGTATATTCTGGCTCATATCTGTATTAGTTGCGAGGTAGTATTTGGAGAAAAAAAATTGCGTCTTTTTAAGTTGGTAAAACACGATAGTATCTATACTATATTTATTCCAATATCATGTTGGTCCTCGTTTATTCTAACGAAGACAAAAAGATGATTATCTTTGGAGTGTACACAACATTCAAAATAGCAGGATTAGATTTGCAGAAGTGCCCTGGTTTCCTTTGTTAATACTGATGGTAGTTCAGTCAGACCCTACCTCAGTGCTGTTTGGAGTGTGGCATTTTCCATAACGTTACGCTTAGATTTATCATTAGTTTCCAGACCCACAAGATGGAAACTGGGGGAATTTTACCATAGTATAATGTTATTACATAATTAGAAAACATTTTGTTCCTCTACACATTTTTTAAAGAGAAAATATATTTGTCTTTTCATCATCGTAAACTTCTTGTGATAGTTCTGAATTAAAAAGACAGAAAAGAATGCAGTCTCAGAATTTCGATAACTATAGCTTCTAACAGTTGACATCAGTTCATGATCTTTTGCATAGTGTTCAGTATTCAGCCAGTAGAGATTTACCAAGTTTTATGAAACTTATTTCATGAACAATTTACTGTTTATTACTTGCACATGCGAATTTGAATAGATTTAAAGAAAAAAAAAAAAAAAAAAAATTTCTGTTACCCTAATTAGCTAATATTTTTGTAGAAATGTCTAAATCTAAATACAACGCATTTTGAAAGTTGGAATACGCAATAATAGCGTGCAGTTTACCTGTGAATTCTACTCTGATCTTTATGCGCTCGTAAAGTTCGTCGGTTGCAAACAAGATGCAGTTAATGAAGGCCATGAGATTCCTCTTGTAAGCGATCACCTCCGTCGTCTTCAGTTCATTAACAATGAAACTGAAGCGATAATGTTCGTGCTTGCCAACCTTAAAAATAAAAACAAAAGCGTCTATGCATAAACTTAAGTGAACTTGAAAGGTTATGTTAAATGAGCTTTTTAAAGTTTTCAATATTAGAATAAATTTAATGAATGAAACAAGCCAAAAGTTGCAAGTCTGCAACTTAACAATAGATATTTGGCTCATACATTAATACAAATTAAGAGCAAGGCCTTTAATATAAACAGACAATATGAAAGTGTTAAAGCTATTTGTGGTAATTAACTGAAGGGGATGGCAGTTATAATGTAAATATTAGATTTGTTTTTTTTCATGGGGAAAAATGAAAGAAAAGTCATTAAAAGATCAATAAATTGTACTTTACAAGAAATTATGTGCATTACTAGAAGCTGAAAATTTTCTATACTCCAATTAGAAAATTTTCTTTATGGGAAGTCGTGGCGATGACTTATCGCGCTATAAAGATGTATTTCTATACTGCATTCATTCAAGAATGCGACAAGCAAATGACATTTGAATATTTCGATTGGCTCCATCAAAAAGTCAATGAAAAAAAAAAAACAAAAAAAAAAACTGCTCGATATTTTTGTAATCATATACTAAAAATTACAAAGAAAAAAAACAAAACAAAAGTAAAAATGGTACGCAAGACTCACAACGATGCAAGTTGACAATCTCGCGTACACAAAACTGCTTAAGCTGCGTCAAGGGACATGTGTCAGTCATGACAAAAAATACATTCGATTTTAATTTAACATAAAATATCCTTTTCAATTTAATCTTTGTTTCAATCAGCAAAATTATACAGAAAACCTTTTTCTATGTTAGAAAGTGGGGGGGGGATACAAATTTGATTGGCTGGAAGAACTTCGAAGATCCATCAAACAGCTATTTGACTATCAAGAATCTACCATTACTAATAAATTATAGTCTTGTGCGCGCACAAAGTTTATAGCCATGCTCAATATCAGAGGTTGAGCGTTTGTAGGTATACAGTGTGGATGCAAATCAACACTGCATGGTCACTGTCAGTATCACGCTTCAACCGATACTCAGTGAGAGAATGCATTTTAGTTTTATTAAAAAGGTTTTCAACTATTCAGTAAAGTTTTTAAATTCTATATTTTATAGAAAATGTGTATACGCGCGTGTTCCCGATTTACTCTGGCATTCTTTAACTCAAAGTCTTAAATTTGTTCTTACATTTTTAAGCAGCCACGTATAAATGGTGATGAGGGGATTTATCCCATTATGATTAATATTCCGATAGTTTCTTATATTAGAGATTTTTTTTTTTTTTTAATTCTACTGACCCGCTTTCACAACTACAGTAAAACCTATATTGAAATATTGTAAAGTGTTCTTAGGTAAAGTTTAGTAGTTTAAATAAAGGTTCTAGTATGTGGTGAACAAAAGCATTGCTAAAGTACAAAGAATGAGAAAAAAAAAAAAAAAAAAAAAAAAAAAGGTAAAAATGAAGCTATACAGACCAGAGTAAGACAGCGTACAGGCAGGAACATACACATAGCTTCTGACTAAATGATACAGACTTCGTTGCAAGTATTATGTTACTAATTTGATAAGGGAACAATATTTTAACAGCAATTAAATGTAATATAATATTGTTAATTCTACGACTAAGAAAAACAACATACTCGAACTTTTAGCCTGTTACTGTCGTAAATGAACTAATGCAATAACGGAAATGATCAAATTGAATGTTACAAACGGAAGAAGAATTGCGTAAAAATAACAAAGAGGGCATCAAGATTGGAGAGGAAGAAAATTGTCGAGATGAAGAGCGGTGGGAGGAGTGATGTAGGATAATGATTGAGGACAATAATATTGTCGTGCATGGCCGAGAGGTTCCAGACTCCCGGCAGCTGAAATCCTAGTTAATTGCAATCGGATCGAAAAATCGAAAACACGCACATATTCAGAAGATCAGATAAGAGATTTATCAAAATTTCATACACAGCCCTGAAATATTTTAGTGGCAATAATTAGCCATTACCGGAAATGGAAAAATGATGTGGGGGAGGACTGATACAAATGGTATCGACACAAGTTTGTGCGTCTACTGGAATTTGCGACTTAAAACTAAATTTATAAGGAAAGTTTAGAATGTTACAGTTCTTTTATATAGTGCGCACAGAGGTATTTTTTAAACTTCACGGGTCGAGATGCTGTAACGTTTTCGGCCCGACACAAAAAAAAAAAAAAAAAATCTGACCAAATATCCTTAGTCAATAAGATTCCTTCGAAAGTTGCCCAATCGTTAAACTAAGGAAATTCGTAAAGACAGATTTTCATTGGGATTATTTGGCTGGGTAAGGTTAGCAAAATTATCAAGTAACTTAAAAATATTAGACCAAAGTATTAGAATGTGACAAGGCTGTTTAATAATCAAACCAAAATGAACAATAAAAAGCACAAACCTTAAAAGGACAAAGAATATATCTACCGAAAGGTTGTGTTAAGGAAAAAAAATACTATATAGTAATAAAATTTTATATCACAAAGTATTCCAGATAATTGTACAATCTTCGCATTGATTATAATTGAAGATCAAATACGACAGATTACTCTTCCATTGTACAAGAATTATTGAATCCGTGGATATTCGAACATACGACAGCAAAGGATTGTAGAATTAAAAAGTAGATACTACAGAACTGTAATAATATACGAATATCGATCTAAACAAACGTATTTCAAAAGTGAAAGTATTTTTTCTTTTAAGGATGAAAACTTAAAATTCAAATAAATGCTTGACATATCTCCTCTTGTTTCATGTAAAGTTGATGCTAACGCACATATTCTAATTCCAACGAATTTATGAAATCGAATCTGCCAAAATATTTTTTTAAATTAATTTTAGGACATCAATATGTTTTACAGCCAAGTGATTGAGCATTTATTCAGACAAGTATAAAACCTTCAGACTTAACTAAGGATATTACAGAAAAATTTAATGATTGGAAGCATTTTCTAAGTATTTAAAACCTATCCCATTTTAATTTTATACAGATTATAAACGCTGTGTTAGTGAACACTTAAGAAAACAAAGATTAAAGTAAAATTAAGAGATTAAATAAAGTCTCAAATGATTTTGCTTCGAGTTTTACATTTACTCTCAAAGTAAAATATGTTTTCAGTAAATTCGGGAAATTAGATCTGTTTTAAAAGTTGAGTAGATTAACATCTCTTCTTGGACGTCAAAATTATTTTTCTGTTTGTCTTTGAGAAGATTATGCTAAGTAATTATATCAGTACCTCTTCGATTGTTACAAAAACGTAGATAAACTCAGAATTGTTAAATTCTATTTCAAATAAATAAAACCTGGCAAGACAGTTATAAAGAAATTTCTATCCAAATTAGGATGGCATGGCAAGTATTTTGATCTACAGTTTTTTAAAAAATCTACAATACTACTACTATTACTACTACCACCAGGATGTTACTTGCTAATTGTACTCTTAAATTATTCCTTTGAGGAGGACATTAACAGCCAGTGACAGAATCGTCTGATGAAGATGTAAAGTGGGTATCAATTTGAATTATATGTATCAGAATACAAATGGTTTTGCTTTTAAGCAGAAATGTAAAACAACAAAAGAACTGATATTGACACAGATGCCTGCTAATTATTCGAATGTGAATGCAGTCAACTGAAGAACTTGCATATTTCGATTGATGCACAATCGATATAAAGTTTTCAGAAAATAAAATAAACAGGTTTTTTATAACTTACTAGACATCTGAATTTCTTTTCCCATAATAAACACTATTGATTAAGCACAATGATTATATTCTATATATATTTTTAACTGAAATCACGTCGTATAAGCATGTTTCGGTTTTTGTAAGGGAGTCATTTTTCGATGAATTTACTTAGTAAACTGGACACCCCCCCCGCATTAACTTGTATAGGATTGTTTAATATTCGTGGCAGACTGCTTAGCACACACAGAGTATATATACGAGTCCTTAACGAAAGTTTAAGACCACTTAGCTGTAACAAGTTTATTTTGTTTTGTTCATTACCTCATGAGATTGCATGATGCAATAGCTTGTTAGTTATTACATCACTTATTTACATATGATTATGGCAAAAACATTTTCGCCATTGCCAAATTAGCAGTCACTGATTGTATTTGTGTAGTGAATGAGGAAAAAAAATCCTCACTTTCACCTACACGAAGGGACCAAGTGTTTCCCTCGGGATGAAGGCTATTCTGAACATGAAATTAAAGTATGCTGTAGTAAGAAACATTTCACATTGCTAATGTGAATTTCCAAAATTCAAGGACATTTAGCAACAATGAGAGAATTGGATATCGAAGGAAAGCCAGTACAAGAGATGACCATTTGATGAAGCATCGCTACACGATCCCCAACAAGTTCTTATAAAGAAGAACCTTATGTTGCTTTGCTTCAAAACGATGTTACTTCTATGAAAGTTTATGTTGCTCGAGATTTGAGTTTGTAAACAACGGATAAAACATCTGGCAAATGCAGCTATGAAATCCAAGCAAAGTTGGTTTTTTCAGAAGATTCTACTCTACAGCAGTTCATTACGCGTAGAAGAAACATTAGATTTCTATGGTAAGAGGTTTGACAGAAAGTATACAATTCAGAATATAGAACGCCATGCCCAAATCTGGGTCACTTATTGCCTCCAAGAACAATGATGAACGGTTCAAGGTAGTAACTACTGCATGAGAAACTGTGCACATTCATCACTACACAATATTTACGGATGAGATTCCATGCCACCGGTCACAGGTAGTTCAAAATTTGTGGAACAGTATCAACGTGACAACACTGGACTGGCCTGAGAACAGTCCAGATCTGAAATCTATTGAAATATACAGGAAATTGAAAAAAAAAAAAAAAAAAAAAAAGGTTGCAGGAAAAATAACCTTCAAGTACCGAAGCAGTGAGAGGCTATAAAAGCAGCATGGACAAAAAAATCTCAGTTGATTACTGTAACAACTTCATTGTCAGCATATCCCGCCGGATC